CCGAACCACCACCACCACCACCAACAACAACAACAACAACTACTACTACACCGCCATCCGGTGCAGATTGTGGCCCACAACAACCTGGCCTGTTACTGGCGCAAGTTGGGGAAGCCGGCTCTGGCGTTGCAGCACCTGCAGCACACAGCTCGCCTGGAAAGCACGGCTGCGGCTGCCATGAATGCGACAGCGGATACGGCAGGGCCGGAGCCGTCGTCAGCAGCCGGAGGTTGCTTGGTGGGTGAGATGCATCCGGACGCTTTGCACAAGCAGGGAACCGCTGGTGCAGCCGCTGCTGCCGAACCCGGCGGAGGCGGCGACGCCGCCGACGCTGCCGTCCCTCGTGGCGGCGGTCCCCAGGGGAACCCTACCGCCGCGACCTTGCTGAACCTGGCGGCCTGCAGCAGCAGCCTAGGTCAGCACATGCAGGCGCTGTCGTACGCTGCGAGGGCGGTGCAGGCGGCTGCGGGGGAGCTGCGGGTACGCTGCTGCGGTGGTGTGTGGGGTGTGGGGATATTTCCGGTGTTCGTATCGGTACGGGACCTACGGGGTCGCAGTGCGGACGTGGTGGAAGTGCTCGAAGTGCTGGAGGAGCCTAGCTTCCGGGGGAATTTGGGGGGGGGGTTGAAACACGATATGACACTGGGGTTGGTGGTGTCTTAGTTGGGACTGGGGATGGGATAAGCAGTTGGGCTGGGCTGGGCTGGGCTGGGCTGGGCTGGGCTGGGCTGGGCTGGGCTGGGCTGGGCTGGGCTGGGCTGGGCTGGGAAGGTTAGGGCTGGTGAGTGGCGTTCACGGGGCTCGAGGATACTGCCTGCAGCAACCAGCCAGTAGCTACCGGGCATGCTGGTCAGGCCATTTTCCCTTTCGTATCATCTCTCCCTGCTTGCAATCCATCCGTCTGTTTGCATGTATTTATGGGCGTTTGCTTGCAATCCATCCTTCTGTCTGTCTGTCTGTCTGCGTCGGTCCAAACGCAGATTCCCCAGGCGGCCCTGGAGGCGGCACTGCTCCAGGGGCTGCCGCAGGTGCAGCTGTGGGAGGTGTTGCCGCAGCTGCGGACGGCGTGTCGGGGCGCCACCATGCAGCTAGCCATGGCCTATTACAACAGAGCCGTGGAGCAGGTTGGTGCGCGGGGGTGACCAGGACGTGAACGTGTGTGTATTGCGGCTGTGGTGTAGCCCTGGAGAGGGAGCCTGTACAGCTGAGCACTGGACCAGCACCGGACACATCAACACCCCTCGGCAGCCGCTATGGCCACCAGGGCCGCAACGTCTTCCCCGAAATGCATCAACCCACATGCCATGCATGCCAGTCAACTGCGTGTTGTGTGTCGCACTCAACGTTATCCAAGTTCACTGTGATGCCTGCCTTCTCACCCCAGCCGTTTCTATCCGGGGGCCGTTTCTATCCGGGGGCCGTTTCTATCCTGGGGCCGTTTCTATCCTGGGGCCGTTTCTATCCGGGGGCCGTTTCTATCCTGGGGCCGTTTCTATCCGGGGGCCGTTTCTATCCGGGGGCCGTTTCTATCCGGGGGCCGTTTCTATCCGGGGGCCGTTTCTATCCGGGGACCGGATGTCTTGAGGGGGTTTTGGACGTCTTCAAGGACTTGCGGTACTTGCGGTGTTCCCTTGTTTCTTTTCTCTGACCGCGCTCCGTACCTTGACCGCTTCTGACCGTTTTTTTTGCACATACATACTGACATATACGCAATCCCTTTCTTCCGTCTGACGCGCAACCGGATTTAGGAGCATCTGCACCAGTGGCAGGCGGCGCTGGAGTCGTACCGCCTGGCGGTGGATGTGGCCAGTCGCTTTGTGGGGCGAGGGAATGACCTGACGTTGACCATGCAGCAGTCGGCCGAGGTGTGGCGGTGCGGTGCGGGGTGGGGTGGGGTAGGGTAGTTGGGGCCGGGGAAGAGGGGATTAAGGTGACGAGGTTAAGGCACACGCAACCCAGATGTGTTTGTGTGGGGGCCGCAAGTGCGAGTGCGAAACCCCCCATCCCCCCGGGAGCCGGAGCCGGGTTGCGGAGGAAGAAGAACCCGGGGGTTATGTCCCCCCGTGAGATAGAGATAGAGTGTGTGTGTATGTGTGTGTATGTGTATGTGTGAGAGGTAGGGAGGTCCCTGATGGCCATGTCCGTCATGTATGTGTGTCGTGTGCCCTATCTCCTTCTGCGGGACCTCCCCCTATTCCGGTGAAGGGAGAAGTGCCGTTACCAGGTCCACAATCCCGCACCAATCAACTCCACAACGCCCGCTTGCCACTGTCCGGTTTCCGTGGTTGGTCTGGCTGGATAATCGCGCTCTTGTGTTGGCACCGGCGTCGATAACGGCCGCTTTCCTGATCCCTTTTTGTTTTATTTCATTTTCTGTTCTGCGCTCGGTTCATTATCGGTTCGGTAGCTTTTTTTCATCATATCGGTCCTCGGTTCCGCAGGCCTTCAAGGTGCGGCTTCGGAAGCTGGAGCGGCAGGGCAAGGTGCGCGCCACCGGCCGGGTGGCCAGCCAGGGTGCCAGCCTCTGCGGGGTCGTCGCTACCGGCACCGGCACCGGCAGCTGCCCAGGCCTGGCACCGACCCTGCAGGCCAGCAGCACCACTGGCGCTGGGGCCTGCACCTCGGGCGGCGGCGCTCCGCCGCGTTCTCACCCACAACTGCGACCACTGCTGCGTTGCTCCACTGCGCCAAAGACGACGACCGCCGCCACCAGCACTGCCGCCGCCGCTGCCGGAACCGGGTACGCCGCCGCCGCCGCCGTCGCCACAGCTGCTGCTACCGCCGCCGCGGCCGCGGCGGCCCAGGCGATGGCGGGGTTGCCCGCCAAGGCCCTCTCCCGCACTCGCACCCCTGGACTGCCTTCCATTGTTCCCGGCCGATCCGCCTCACTGTCGCTCATCAGCGGAACCACCGCGCCGCCATCGCAGTCGGCAGCCACGGCAGCCTCCGCCGGCGGCGGCGCCGCGGGCTCCGTGTCCCCTGTCGCCTGGACCCAGGTCGGAGCTACCGGATCTGGGGCGTCGGCGCCGCCGCACTGCCCCGCGGCGCTGCCCCCGCGGCGGGCGCTTTCCGCAGGAAGGGAATGGCCGCCGCAGCGACTGTCAAGCGTCGTACTGTCGTCGGGCTTGGAATCACCAGCGCCCGCACCGGCGTGGGCTGTGCCGCAGATGCGCCGCGGCAGCACCTGCCATGTCACTACGGCAACGGCGGCAGCGGCGGCGCCGCCACCATCTCGAGGCAGCGCCAGCCATGTGCCTTCTGAGGCTGCGACGGCAGCGGCGCCGGAACCGCCGCTGCGCCGTGGCGGCGCGAGCGCGGGTTCAGCGGTGCGCGCCTACGCGGATGCCGCGCAACTGCGCCGATGTACGGCCTGGTCGCCGCCGCTGCCACCGAGGCCCCGGCCTGAGGTCTCTGGAGATGCAGGAGGCCGGGCGGGTGCTGGCGACAGAGGCGGCGGATATAGCGGCGGCGGCGCTCCGGAACCAGGGCTGCACATGGAAGTTGGGTGCCGGCCAGGCGGCCCGTCGGTGGCGGTATCTGGGATTGCTCGCGGTGGCGGTGGCGGTGGCGGCGGCGCGGTCAGCGCCGGTGTCGGGCCTTCAGGCATGTCGCCGCCGCCGCCGCCGCTGCCACCATCGCTGCAGCCGTGGTGCAGCTCCAGCTTGGCGACGGCGACTGTTGTTTCTGAACCTGGTGTAAATGGGGCGCGGTCCGCGAGCACTTCGTTGGCGTCACCGCAGCCGCCGGTGCCGATGCCGCTGGCGGCCCGCGTGGGCACCATCTCTGTCACCGCCGCCACGACAGCGAAGGCACAGCATGCACCTGCCTCTCATGCCGTGGGGCCAGAAGGGGCAAGAAGTTCTACTGCCACAAGCCTTACGGTGCAGCGGCATAGCGAGACGGAGGCGGAGGCGGAGGCGGCTGAGGGGGAGCGTTTTGCGGCTGAGGGAGGTACCCTAGCTGCCGTTGCTGCTGCGGCGGTTGCGGCAGCAGCAGAGCTTGCCCGGATATGCGCGGCTAATGAGGACACAGGTCAAGGACAGGGGCAGGGGCAGGGGCAAGAGTGGAGGCAGGTTGTTGTCGATGCACATGTAGGGCATCATCAGATGTACGGAAGTGAGCGGAGTCCCTCTAGTGTCAAAAAAGAACCGAAGCGTGGGTCACTGGCGGTGCGGTCGTCGGCTCAGCCATCGCCAGCTGGGGTTTGCGGCGCTGTGGGTCGAAGTGATGGTGTTAGTGATGATGTTAATGGTGCTGCTGATGGTGGTGGTGGCTTGGCCCGTAAGGGTAATGGATGTCCAGAGCGTCCGGCTGTGCATTCCGCTGCGTGTCCGGGAAGCATGCTGGTGCCGAAGCGGGATGGTGTGGCAGTTTGACCTCTGTATGTCGATGCGCGCCACCAGAGGAGTCTTGATGTTATTGCCTGAGGTTTGATGTATTTGTACGGTGGGGTCTGGGATGTGGGGCAGGTAGGGGTCAGGTGATTTGTGCACGGTTAGATGCGCGGCTGCCAAAGCACGAGTGCAGGATATTGTTAACTGCCAACTGGAAGTGACGAAATGATTACTGTGCCAACTGCTTGGATTTATACTGGTTGGGCTTTACCAACTAAGAGTTACGCGCCGGTGCAAAGTGGTTGTTTATCGTACAGAACGGGCGTTTTGGACCACAGCTTTGGCATGGCAGCGGGCGCTGGGATCATGATGATTGGTGCGAAAGTATCTACGATTTAGCATTATCACTGCACATAAGTTGTGACAGTTGCCTACAATAGAAGCGCGGTGCGTAGCAGTATTGTGACTACACATCAATTGGCCGAGCCGGACGTTATGCCAGTTCCCGTCAGTATAACCAACCCAAATGGGAAGGGCCTGGCAGCAGCCATGCCTTCGCAGCTTCCTACCGAGGGGCCATTTGCCCGATTGAAGGCTCAAGCGCAATCTGCGGCCATTAGAACAGAACCATCTGCCGGTCACAATCCTCAGCGTGATCCTGTGGACATGACACAGCAGCCTGAGCCAAGCACCAGCGCCGCGGCGACAGCTCCTGGCAGCATCGAGGTTCGCCATCTGAGCTTTGCTTACCCAGGACTAGGTAAGCTCATGGGAAAACCCACCTGCCAAAAGCGTTATGGAATGGAACTTTAGCAGCAGCTTTTAATTTGCAAATCCGTAACAAAATTTATGGTGTTGCTAAGCCAGGCATTGGGGGCTGCTTTTGCCCGACATGTGCGCAGTCAAGTTGAACACCAAAACCCCCCAGATAACCTTCCCAACAACAATTCGTTCTTGCTTTTTCACGCTTGCAACCTTACAAAAATCCACCACCTTCACCTCTCCATTTTCGCTTGTTCTACCCCAACCCTCATTCATTCTCAGATGGTCGCCCCATCCCGGGAATCCCGCCACTTTTGAAGAACCTTTCCTTCTCGCTCGCTCCCGGCACCACTTGCTTGTTGCTGGGAGCCAACGGCGCCGGCAAAACAACTTTTTTGAAAATCTTGGCGGGAAAACACATGGTGTCTGAGGAGTCAGTCCGGGTACTGGGGCGGCCGCCCTTCCACGATACCGCTCTCACCGTCTGCGGTGACCTGTCGTATATTGGCGGCAACTGGCAGCGCGACATTGCGTTTGCAGGCACTAGTGTGCCGCTCACAGGCGACTTCCCAGCGTCGTACATGATTGACTCCATCCCGGGCGTGGATCCAGAGCGGAAGGCCCGTCTGATCAAGGCGCGTCGGGATGTGGGGGACGAGGAAGGAAGGGCGTGTGATTGTTGGATGAGGGTGGGTGTTGGTGTTAAGTCCACCAACGCGGGAGGTGCTCTGGCCCGCAGTTTTATCCGGAAGGCCAAGGCCTTGATGATGACCCCTTGAGGATTGTTTATGTATATTGGCTCAGACTGTTCAAGGGAGATTTTCGTTTCATCGTGTTTTAATTAGTTTTGTATGGGAGCATGGTAAAGGGGAGATTATCTTTAGTGGCTAACGGCAAACTACTATGTGAGGATGACAGTTCCCTAAGAATGCCGGGGGGATGGTTGGGCCGGGGGTTGCAGCGAAGGAAGGAAACCGTAAAAGAACGGAGGGACGAAATCCACTGTTACAGTAGATTCAGACGCGGTGGACCGACTGGCCAACCTTTGGCGGTGCCTAGCTGGGCTTGCAGAAAACAAGGACACGAGCCCAAATCCCAAGCCGTCTCCACCTAGACCCAGCTCCCTTGTTTTCCTTACTTTGCGACTCCGTCCCGCAACCCTCAAGGTGCTGGACATCGACCCCACCTGGCGGATGCACACGGTTTCGGAGGGCCAGCGGCGTCGCGTGCAAATCTGCGTGGGATTGCTGAAGCCCTTTAAGGTGAGCAACTGCTTACGGATCTGCAACCGACCTGTTTTTGTCGGGCAGGACTTTGACGAATGATGATGATAGCTGGTATGGCATCATCATTGCAACGGGTTGTGGTTTGTGGTCATGGCGGTGCTATGCTGCCTGCGTGCTGATCTCCGCGCAGGTGCTTCTGCTGGACGAGATTACGGTGGATTTAGACGTGCTGGGACGAGCTGACCTGATGCGCTTTCTTAAGGAGGAATGTGAGAGTCGCGGCGCCACCATCATCTACGCCACCCACATTTTTGATGGGCTGGAGTTCTGGCCCTCCCACATAGCCTACCTCGCAAACGGTAGGCCAGCTGACGTACAAGGGAATCTCAGGATTGTGCGGGAATGCAGGTATTAGTGCCACTCTAAGCGTCTGTGCCGTATGTTCATGTTCCCTTGGTGATGCTCGTGTGCTGCGCGGTGCGGCGCATCAGCTGCGGCCCTTTGCGGAGATGAGTGGTCAACCCTGAGGCCATTCCGATGTGCAGAGAACCCCAGAGGCCTCCAGCAGCAACGATGAAACGAAACCATCGTTGGGTTCAAACACAGCGTCCACTCAACGTACTTGGGAAGACGGCTTTGTCGTGCGACACTTAGCGGCATGGGCATGGTACCTGGGAGCTAGAGAGGTCTCGCTGTGCTTTCCCACCGAACCTCATCACGTGAGCGCGATAGTGGCCGTATGTGCAGCCACCTCATACCCCGTAGTCCTTGACCCATTCGCTGCCGCTGCTGCCGCTGTCGCCGTCGCAGGTCAGCTCAGGCTCCTCCCTGCACGTGACGTACCAGAGCTGGCTCAGGGCCGGCTGCTGTCGCTCGTGCACCGGATGCTGCTGGAGGACCGGAACGCGCAGCTCAAGGCACGGGGTCCGCGGCCGGTGGAATGGGATCCCACGCGCGAGGGCGAGGTGGGCAATTTCTCCTACGCCTTCAACAACGGCTGGGTGCCGGGCACGTTGTCTTCCTCTCTGAGCAGTAATGCAGTCATGCGGGGGTGACTTGGGTAGAGAAGTTAATCAAAACCATCATTCGACGATGATGTTGAGAACGGATATTTTTTTCACAGGTTCGCTGACGGGCTGTGTGCCTGCCGGGGTTCAGAAGGCAGGCAGGAAGGGGAGGGGGAGGGGGGGAGAGCCAGCGGAGGCGGCTTGGGGGGAAAGCCAGATGGTTACGCCGCGGGCTTGGGGATGAGTTGAACAGATTTGTTGGCATGCCGATGCTGTGTGTGGATTAGAATGTGAGTGCCGTGTGTGCATGTCGATACGTAAGCCTTTCATGAATAGTTGAGTGGTTCACATTAATGGCCTTAGTAACCCTGCTTGGTATTTTGACAAATGCTACCCATTTTTTGACGAGTGAAGACAACACCCCGTGTAGCATCTGACAATACACCTTGGAACCGCCGATATTCGGTAGCTAACGTTCTTCGCACAGTGCTGCGTATCTGGCAACAGCGGAAACTTTACCACCTAAAATACCGAGGCGAGGGCGGGAGTCAAGAAAGGACTACAGCCTTTAGCATCTAGCAACATTTTAACATTATCTACCTGCCCACACGTTACCGTAAACAAATCTCGAATTTCGCCTACATCAATGCTGGGAATGGGGAACTTGCAACGCCTCCGCAGGCGCGGCATCAGCAGCCAACGCGTCTCATTGCTAAAATAGTGACAACGAAGAAGCACGACAGAGTGACAACAACATGTAATATAGCATGTTATGTCAGACACATACACACAACGTCAAAGCATAAATCGTTTGTGACGCCCTAGGTCGATGCCCTGGCCCGGGGATGTGCATCCACATATCATATGCCACGAAGACCCACCTTCTCCGTCTTCACCCCTAATATTCATAAGGGATGGCGGGTAACGCGAAAGGCCGCACAAAGGGCGTGTGCATATTGGAGTGCATAGATGCGCTTGCACATAAATTTGAATGCGCCGCCGGCAACTTAATCCATTCCGCCGGTTAATAAAATAGCTCGATACTGCCAATCGAACCGACCGACGGCTAAGCACTACGAAAAGCAACCGCCCAACCAAAAAGTCAAAACCAGCCCGCCGAATGGAATAACCATCCTTCGTCATCACTGCGAGTAACGCGAGCCCTCGCAAAATACGACTGCAAGCTTAAGCTCACCACCATTAGCCTAGGCCGCCTAAGCCCTGTCGATCGGGACCCAAAAAGCCATGCACGCCGCTAATTCACCCGCCGCAGCCTCATGCCTCACCTATCGTCGCCGCCAACACCTCTCCTCAAGGCCGCACCTGACTTTCCGGCTTGCCTGCGCAAAGCATCAAAGCGCAGCACTGTGCATTCTCTCTTCCGGCCCAACTGCAAGCCGAGATAGCGCCCCAAGCTCTCACCGCCCAGAGGTTCGCTTTTGCCATCAACGCCTTTCCGTAAGGTCCGACGTTGGGGCGGCAGATGTTGCGATGAAATTTTTGCCAGCGTGAAACCCCTGAAGCCGGAGTAACCATGCTGGGCGCAGCTCAACATGAGCCACGTGCATTGCCCTCGCAGCTTAGTGCAATCAAGCAATGCAAAAGCTACCTGGCTTATCCACCGGCTTGCTGGGCGCGCTGCATTCCCCGGCCACTGTGCAACCCAGCTCAGCCCTGCGTACGCTTCCCAAAATTCTTTGGGCGACAGAACTGTGGCCGCATTGCACAGTTGCGTGTTGCGGCAGCACTGGACCCCTTCCTCCGCTTGCTTAGCCACATCTATGCTAATCCAAAAGTTCAAGGCGGCGACAGTGGACCCCCGGTCTACGCAGTGCGCTTCTGGTGACAACTCAGCATCATAACGGCAGCATGCCAGTGGCTGCCATCGACGTTTCGAACCCTCCCTTCATGCTCGCCTGCTGGACACGGCCTGGCTAAATGCACTACACTCTCACGTCCCGCCGCGCAGGTAGGCACAAGACGCGCCTGTCGAGCCGCCGGCCACCATGTTTGGTTAACTGTCAGGCTGTAGGATGCCGCCTGCGCGCTGTTGCTTGTAAACTTGAGTCCATTTGTGGAGGACCCCACCTCGGGAATTCCCAAGCAGACGCCCATTAGCTCCATATGCTGTTTTGCCACAAGCGACCGTCATCTCTGCCAGCTGCGCCACTGCCGTCGCTGTTTCCACCGGTGATGCCGCCGCTGCCGCTCTCGCTGGAACCCCACAATATGCAAGTGCTGGCGGCACTTGCAACTGCGGCGGCGCTGCTACTGTTAGCTGCGCACGGCCGGCCATAGACGCCGTGTGCCGCAGCAGCCGCATGTGCACCTGGCGCCGGAGTGCTGGCTGGTAATCCGGCCATGGCAGCAGCAGGCTCAGGCTCCTGGGTCTCCAGCTGCTCGAGCTGTCGCAACGCTGAGGCCACCATACGCTGAACATAACCGTAAGCTCCCCACCGCTCCTGCGCTAGCTCTGCGCCCTTGCACCAAGCGCCTGGCGCGGCAGGGCCGCCACGGGAATAAGACGAAATAAGGGGGACAGGACAGGATAGGATAGGGAGAGATAGCGTCATGTGTTCGCAAGCACCTAGATGCTATCTGGTGCCTTGGCACAACCGAAGGCGTGTACACCGATAACAAGCGAGAACACACATGTGGGTGCAAGCATTTTTCGTCATGCTGAAGGCCGCAAAATGGCGCCAGCCGTTTCACTCTTGCTTTTTAAGCATTTTCCCTCCTACGGACCTGGCACAGGCTGCTGAGGAGCGAGGGGCTGGAGGTTGAGGCCGGCCAGGAGCGGCGGATTTGTGGCCATGGGTGGGTCCCGCAGCAGGATGTTGTCCACGGAGTGCTCATAGATTTTGCCGTGGCTGTCCAACCGGTACGTGGAGATGCCATCGAACGTCCCCTCCGCCTCCCAGGGCACGCGTGGAATACCGTGAACAGTCCACCGCATCTTTATAATGCCGTCCTCTGGCTGCCATATCCTTCTAACATCCACGTACAGCGTCTTGAAAAATATCTTTCCGTGGAAGCGCAGCGACCAGAAGATCAGCTGGTAGTTTTTCATGCCCTTAAAGCAGTTGCGCGGGTCCCTGAAGACGACATCGTCCCGATAGATGTCAACTGCGCGATTACGAAAGTAGCGACTGGGGTTAAGCGTTTCTGTAGATGTCCTTGTGACAACCACAAACCGTTCCGCAGAACCGCAGCCCGCGATCATGCCCTCAAAAGGGTATCCTTACTTACAGTTGAGTTCCCGTTGAAAAAGCATTGGAATATCCTCTCGGAGGCAACGAATGGCATCCCCAACATTGGCAAAGTAGTCCTCTGAACGTCCCTGGTTGCGTGTTCGCTGCGGCCGGTCGTCCACAGTCACAAAAAAAGCGCCATGTGGCATCCCGCCGAGAGCATCGTCCAGCGCGTTCCAGGAATACAGCCTCTCCAGCGTCACCCGCGCCCCGAAGTCCGCCAGGGAGCTCGTGGAGGGTTCGCAAGGCTCATATTTGGATTCAAGCCGCTGCGGCAGCGGCTCATCGCGCAGCTCGCCTGGTTGCTGCTTAAGGGCGCTGACGATGACGCTTCTGACGCCAGCACCTCCAGGACCTCCAGGAACGGTTGGGCGCCCTTGAGGCAGAGTACTACCCCGTAGGCCAAAAAGCATTCGTTGCTTGTTTCTCCAAGCTGGGCACCACGTTTTTGCTAATACGGACCCAAGGATAAACGCACTGATATGCCAGGTTGCAAACAGTAGTATTAACAGCCGCAGATTTAAGGCTCAAAGACAAAAAAATGTTTTACTGCCATGTGGTGAGTGAAGTTAAGCAGTCTACGGCACCACCTTGTACAGCTCAGTTGAGAATGTTTGCAACCTGTTTCCTCCCACACCTCTGACGCAAGTCCCTGATAATAACGAGCCCCTGCTTTCTTACGGGTCTTTGAAATCATGGGTCTACCGTGCAAGGTATCCATACTCTTGTTGAGCTTCTACTTAATCCTTCAACACGCTTTTGCAATTAAATTGAAGTTTAGGTATGAGGAGTGTATGCAATATGACGTTAATATGTATGAGCCTTTCTACGGGAGCTTTGTGGCGTTGCCGGACCTATATTCACTCCAAGTGGGTGGATTTATGTTGCCCCTGCGCAAGTGTCGCATTTTGCTTCCTGTTAGTCATGTACCATGCGACGTTTAATGAGCTGAGTTGCTTCGCACCGGGGCTCTTTTGTCGATTTTGATTACTACACTCGATCTTGCCGCTCTGGCTTCCCGCAACGGGTTTCATGGCCTGCATATCATGAAACCGCGCCACGCAGGCGCGATACGACTTAATCATCACATCGCCAAGCGGCACACGAGTGCACGAAATCTATGGCGAGCCGGAGACGAAGTAAGAAGTTTTTTCGCACACCGCTTGCACGCATTCGAGGGTCTGGCACGTGAAGGGGCACGTTTTCAATCCGTATGGAGCGAAGCAGGGCGCAAGATCTAGCGGGGTTCGGGTGTTGGCACTTCCCCTTAGCGTGCTGCACTCGTGCAACCGTGTTGGATTGAGGACGACGGAGCTGCCAGCCTGCCATGAAGCCCTGGGGATATGTGCGCCGGAAATGGCACAATCCTTAGTATCCGGCCCTGAATAAAGCCTCACCGTCGGTTTGATTGCACTCCAATCGTACTTAACTGACCTCACCCGTCCAAGACATCTCCAACCCATCTCCCTCGAGCCACCCTTAACAGCTAGCCGCCTCTTCATGTCCCACCGCCCAACGTCCCAGCAATGGCGGCCGCATCTTCGCTTTTCCCTCTCCCACGTGGGCATTGGCTTCCCGGCTCACCCCAGCATTTTACGCAAAGCCCGGCCCATTCCTGCGGCCGCTGCCACAGGTTTCACCTGGTCCCGTACGAGACTGGCAAGTACCGGTTCTGTTTGCGTCTGAACCAGGAGAAGACTGGTAGTCGCTACGTGCTATCCCGGGAGGTATTGTGGGACCTCCACTTGGGGCACTCGGAGCACCATGCGGAGAACGTAAAGGAGCACGACACCCAGGTATTGCGGCCGGAGCCAAATGTCTAATAAGACATGGCGGGGACTGGAAGCCGGCATGAGGGCGCACTGGCGCATGAGAGCAGTAAAAGGTCCGGGCAGGAGCTGCGAAATCACACAGAACGGATGTCCGATCATACTCCTTTGCACGGGTTTCACGTCAGAGTCACACCTTAACCGTTTGGTGACCTTCCAAATGGTGGTAGTATTTGGTAAATGTGGTGTCGCACATTTACAGGGAAAAGCCCTACGGGTAACAGGCCATCCTGCTTACGCTGCACGTGCACGCACGCACGGACAGGATATTGCGGGTTGTGCGGCGCCCGTTATGGGACTGCGGCTGATAAGATGCAACGATGGCAGCGTCGGTGAGCGGTGCTTGGCAGGAAGCTATTAGGCAACAGATGGTGCTGGGGCGATCCATCCAATGCTGCCTGACGGTTTCCTAATCCTGACTCCCAAAATTAACCTGCCACAGGGCCTCTGGCACTACGTGCACCAGGTGGACTCGCAGCTACAGCAGCTGCGTGCCACTCAGCAGTACCTGTACTGGCGGGAGCGACGGCACCGCATGACAGTGGACTCCACCAACCAGCGGGTGCTGGTATACGCATTGGTGCGCAACGGCGTGCTGGTGCTGGTCAGTTTGCTACAGACGTTTTTCATCCGCCGCATGTTTGCCAAGGCGGCGAACTAGCAGCAGCAGCGGAAGCAGCCGCAATGTAAAGAGATGACGGTTGCGACGCCTTGTGAATAGGGTTGGAAGCAGTTTGAGACGTGTGGAGCGAACTGCGAGCTGAGAGGTGGAGTGGAGTAGTGCTGTATTAGGGGGAGGCATGGCTTTGCCTTGGCCCGGAGGGGGCGTGGGTGGGTAGTGCTGCTTTTGAAGGCTGGCGCAGATGTGCGGTGCGTGCGATGGTGTGGCTGCTTTGTGGGACGCAGTGTGGGGTGCGGGAAGCGTTGTTGGAAGTCAGTACCGTGGCGTGGTGCAATACCAGGTTCTCATGTGTCGAGGTGCGCGGTGCCCGGGGCCGTTTGGGCCTAAGGGGGTTAGCGGTGCCTTCTCGTGTAGTCGTGTTTTTTGCGATGTTATCTTGCGCGCGTAGTCACCATTTAATAATGTATCAGGGGGGTTGGGATTACACTATGTCATCGCGGTGTAACTTCATAACGTTAAAAGGAAGTGTGCTGGCGAAGCTATCGCTAGCAATGGCAAGTCATCGAAGATACGAAAACTAGGTATGAACATCAAAAGCTGTATCGAGACGGTTCTACATCGCAAGAGTTGCAATACATGGAACGCTGTATTTTGTTGCATGCAGCACTGCGCCGGGAGGTACGAACGTTCCTTTAGTAACAAAATTTGCCGCGAAAAAGGATGTCCACGGAATATTCAGAGGATTATTTAGTTGACCTTTCCTTCTAAGCCCTGAAGAAGGTGTGTGCTCGTGCCAGCAATGCTCTCAGTAAACATGTTGTCAAAGTGTCAGCCTTTTGTTAGGGGTCCCGTCACGCCGCTGTTGAGAATTAATCCCAGCACGAATCACGTAATTTCTCCGGGAGCGCGTGTCTTGCTTTCGATACGGAATGCCTCCGTCGGGAAACCGAATTCTGCCGGAACGCAGCATGAGCGGGACCACACGGAACAGGCCGCACAAGAAAATGGTACTGCCGATACTCATGCCCACGGCCACACAAGCGATGGGCACGGTCATGCTGGCAGCCACGATGAGGGTCATGGACATGGTCATGGTGGAGTACAGGGCGCTGTCCACCAAGTCCAGCATCGTGCGGCTGAGAAGTCGGCGTTCAAATTCCTCGAGGCAGTTGCAGAGCGTCTCACGAGTAAGCAGGTGCGTCGAAACGGTCACGGACTCGCTGTGTTAACAATTTCCAGACCCTAGGTTAACAATTTCCAGACTCAGTTACGTCCATGACGAACACAATGCAGCAAGAACCTCGCATGTTTTTATGCAAAGAGCTGTCATCCGTATAACGGAGGGTGTTGCAGATGTAGATTAAGACAGTTATGGTCATGAACCTTTTCCAATACAGGTTATGCAACACGTCGGCAGTAAGGTCTTAAGCTCCGCGGCAGAGAAGGCTGGAGAACGCATTGGGGAACGCGCTGGAGAACGCCTAGTAGAGCGCTTGGCGGAACGCGCCGGTGAGCGCCTCACAGAGCGTGTTGGTGAACGAGTCCTCGAGCGCGCTGGAGAGCGCGTAGCGGAACGAGCTGGCGAGCGGCTGGCTGAGCGCATGGGGGAGCGTGTTGCAGAGCGCATGGGCGAGAGGATTGCAGAACGTGCTGCGGAGCGGGCTGGCGAACGGCTCGCGGAACGGGCCGGTGAACGCCTGGCGGAGAGAGTTGGAGAGAGAATGGCGGAACGGGCCGCAGAGCGGGCTGGTGAACGACTTGCAGAACGAGCTGGAGAGCGGCTAGCGGAGAGGGTGGCGGAGAGAGCTGGAGAACGTATGGCAGAGCGGCTAGGTACGGTAAAGCCTGGAGTATTCGTGTTGCCGACGTGCTGGACAACACTTAACTGCCGTAACAAGAACGAACACGCCCCGATTACGGCCAACCCAAATCAATCCATGTCCGACCCAGATCACAGTGCTTGTCCCACGCCATGGCAGATGGTGTCAGGCCGGACCCACATCGGTTTTCATCTTCTTGCGTCCTGGGGCGGCACACATTGTCAAAACTAGTTCGATTACCTATTTTGTCCTGCAGGCGAGCAGGCCCTGACGAAGAGTGGCACCCGCGTTGGCGCCCATGCTGCGGAGGCTCTCGCTGGGCGCATCTTGGAGCCCACGACAGCAGCCACGCGCGCCGCCGAGCACAGCGCCAGCGCGGCAGCGGCGCACGGCGCTGGTGCAGCTGTGGCACACGGCGCCGGCTCCCGCGGCGGATTGTCGATGCTGGACGCAGCCATCCAGAAGCTGCTGGGCAGCCGTCTGGGTCGGCGGTTCCTGACCCCGCAGCTGCTGGCTCGTGTGGGCCGGGGAGCCATGGTGGCGCTTCCCGCCATTGGAGCGCTCTTCGTGGCGCACCTAGCGCATCAGGTGTCTTAACTGTCTTATGCTTCTAAGCTTTGTAACATCGATTAAGCTTCATGTATCATCTGATAAGCTTCGACAGTCGCCCCCGACACCGTAGCAATATTTTTTATGAACGGTCCATGGCGGGCCCACCGGGTTTGACGGAATCCCCCCGCACCTGTGCGGACACTGTGTAACCGTAGCTGTGTAACTGTAACTGATAAGCTTCATGCGGTTTAAGCTTGTTATTCTGTTCTTACATTACAGGACTACGAGCGCATGGTTGAGGAACGCGCCAACGGCCACCTGGCGGCCTTCTTGGGCTTCTTGGTGGCCTTCACTTTTGATGTGCTAGATGTCCTGGCGCACATCGTAGTGGTGGTGGGCCTGATGCACCAGCACTTTCAGGTAGAAGGTTAAAGTTGTGGATGACGGTGTGCAATGCTTGCGGGTCCGCATGGTTGCCGCTGCAGCACGAAGGATCGGATGGAGTTGGGCCAGCGCGCACAGGGGCCAGGTGCCGTTCATACCTCAACATTGAGTACATTTGGCATAACTCAGGAAGCGTAGACGTCTAAGCTCATAAGGTATACTGCATGGGTGTTGGTGAATTGCTGCTGTGTTTCTGTGCACAGGTGGGTCTTCATGTGCCCCACAGCGTCCTCCATAATGTAGAAGGCGCCGGCATTGCCATCGCCGTCATCTCGACCGTCGCGGCGGCAGCCGCAGAGATCATGGCCATGCGACGCGGCCTGGCCATTGCCAATGCTGCCGCTGCTGCCGCCGCGGCGGCGGCGGGTACCGCTGCGCCAGGTACCGTCAATGGCGTTCCTCACGCTACTGCCACAGCCAAAGCTAGCGCGGCATCAGATGCGGCTGCGCCGCCAGTACCCCCAAACATTGATGCCATCCGGCGTCATGTTCACGCAAGCGCCGCGGCGGCGGAGGGCGCGGCTACGGCACCGTCCACTCCAGTGAATGTGACCCATGGGTATGTTGGTACAGTTGCTGGAAAGAGCGGCTCGGCGTCGTCCGTAGCGGTCTTGGGTGTCTTATCAGCCGGTTGGCACGAAAACGGACGGCAACAACCGCACCAGGCGCTTAACGGCGCGAACCCCGCTGCTGCCCTACAGCAAGTGGTTGCGGACGAGCGTACGGTTGCTGCCGCGAAGGCGGCGGATGTCGAGTCGGACATCCGGGCTTCGCCCGGTCGGCCTGACATCGTAGCTGCGGCTGGCGACACGGCAATGGAGGCCGCGGCTGCGGCAGTAGCGGCCGCGACTGCGGCGGAGTTGGCGGCGGACGTGATGGCGTTGGGTGCCAGCGGCAGGGCGTCCACGGCTGCCAGTGCAGCCGATTGCGTCAACCCCTCGGCTCGGGTCATGTCCAGCACATGGCACGGCGGCGCTGCTGACAAGTTGTTGACCGGTAAAAGGACCAGCGCCCGCCTCAGACGCAACAACGGCAAGGACAATGACAACACCGATTTGTGACATAGTTTTGAGCTCCAATATTTGTCTGGCCTTTTCCCTCCCTGGTGTTCGTGTGAGCAGATGCTGTGGTATAAATAACAAGTGTGGTGTTATGGCTAGCTGCATGCGTGGCAAAGGGCTTCATATTGGCGGACTGGCATGCAAGGGCATGCATAACCAAATCGTCGCCTCCTTTCGTACATATGCCATAAGTGGGTATGATGGGGGTTTCGGTGTGAATCGTACATAGGTTTATAAATTATCGTCCATTAAGGCCCTCTAATGGATGATGGTTGTGCAGTGCTGGTGGGGTCAGCGAGACACCTTTCTTAGCGAACTGGCATGCATTCACGCACAGACGGCAGCTCAGGGAGGGGTGCCCAATATCTGCACTGCACGCACCGCCCGCCCGCTCCCTACATTTCGCATTCGCGGCCCAGCAGTCCCTGGGTATTGAGCAGTACCTGGCACTGCTCGAGGATTACCATGGCACAGCCCCGCATTGAGATCACGAATGATGCTGCTGGGCAACGCACAACAAAAAGGGTGGTGCACCTTATCATACCTGGCGCTGCATGACTCGAGAGAAGAGATATGTGGTGCAATGCACTGTGACGGCCCCAGAGGTGGGTTATTTTCAGGCGGAGGCATGTGGGAAGTTGACCGAGAGGAAGTGCGATAGATACTTCAACTTAGTAATGAAGAAATAATGCGTATGACGTTTCGCTTAGCTTTTACTTTCCTGTCCGATTGTGTTAATTTCTGTCCGATTGTGTTAATTTAACTGAGCCGTGATACGGGAACAGTCCGAAGTCTTTGTCTGTGTGTGTGTCTGTCTTTTGGTCCGTCTGTCTGTCTGTCTGTGACACAATAACGCTATGTGATGTTCTCGCTCCTAGCTGCGACACGACGTTTGGCTTACGTGACGCGCTGTTGTGTGCTACTCTAGCCACCTCCACGTAGTAGTAATGCCCGTTTGTGTATCCTAGTCAGGCCTCCAATTCATCGTGTTCCGAGCAGTTGGCTGGAACTCTCATTCGGCCTAGTTTAAGGCCTCTCTCCTCCTGCCCATGCTCCGATAAACCATCACCGGTGGCATTGGAAGCTACCGCCAATCTGCGCGGCCTATCGCCCCTTGGCTCGTGAGGTGTGGGATGGGGTTGCAGCATACACCCTCTCACATAACAAGATTCCTCGTGCCGCTACGTTCGTAATTACTACCAATTAAAACATATTTTCTTCCCAGCACCCCTCCCCCCTCTCCACTTTCCAAGCTGGTCTCCTCACCTACCATTACCGTGTACACATTCGCGCATATCTATTTTCTCCCAACATCCAATCAATAGATCCTGTGCACGCGCAAAAGGGCTCAGTAGGCCCTGCATCCTGACACCGCCCCGCAGCCTCCACCACCAAGTGTCTCCCCTGGTCCCACGGCCCCATCACATCGCGCCACGCCACGTCATATGCTACACTTCCAAATCACTTTCGCTGCTGCTGTTGCTGCTGCTGTTCCCGCTCCGCCGCTATGCGTTGCTGCGCCGCCACCTCCCGTCGCTGCTGCCGCTGCTGCCGATCCTCTACCGCCGCAGCGGCGTCCGCAGCCTGAAGCACGGGGTCCTCCGCGATCAGCTTCGGCCTCAGCCTGTACCACATACTGGTCTTTCCCTGCAGCCGAGGGTAACCGGGGTGAGGCGTGAGGGGGAGGTTCGGAGAGGAGTGGGCCTCTGCGGGGGATAGTCCCGGTCAGGAAAGGGAAGAAACGAGATGCGGTCCAGAGCCATCGGCAGCACCGCCCTCAATCCCTCAGCACCGTATCCTCTCTCGCCACGAGATTCACATCTCAGCACCCGCTACAAGCACCGAAGCAAAGCCATGCGCAGAACCGCCTCTAGACAAGACGTGCCAAGCCCCATTCCTCCGGCCTCCCCGTGATCGCCCTCTGGGCTGGTTGACCGAGGGAGATGGTTAAGGCTCATGACGGCCACGTTACGGTACCCAATTAGCATCTAGCCCTGCAATGACTTCACCAGTATGGCTATCAACTGACCTGACGATACTTGGTGTGGAAGTTGAAGCGCAGGCGGTTGATCTGGTCGTCCACGGGGTCGTTGACGGTTAAGCCCTCCCGGTAGCGATGCTCACCGCCCTAACCCGACACAGAACCGAACACGCAGACACCAGATGTCCGCAGCGCAGTCACAGTGGTGTCAAATACATGCACAAGAACAAGTAGATGCGGTTTGACGTATTTATTACACTCGTTTGGAGCACTACCTACAGTGCATTTAGATGAAATGTGCGGTGTCTGTGCATGTAGGTTCTCTACAGTAACAACAGAAATCTGCCTCCTGCTACTGGCCCCGCTGTACACAAACATGTCCTCCAGCTACTTGGCCCGACAGCAGCATGTACACTGCAAACCACTCGTAGTGTCGCCATTTGTTCGGCACTGCCGAACTAATTGCGGAAGCTCTCTCAGCCATCGATTTTACTACAAATTTTCCCACGTGTGTAGATGCCCTTTCCCCTTCCTTGGATGGTGCGCGGGTCATGAAAACTCATACCGCAGGTACGTAGATGTCCCGTAGCCCAAGCTTGGAGATGGTGTACGAATACGACTCGAAGTCAGTGCGGCGCAGCCACGTCAGCATGCGCCGGCGCCTGTTGACGAGCATCTCCAGCTGCCTGTGACAAAGCGAGTTATGGAGTGAACGGGCCATGGGAAAAGAGGAAAGAAAGTGGCACGGCGTGCCGCAAAATGCACCGCAAATTTCTCCATGAATGTTCAGCCAGTCCAACAGCACCAGGACCTGCCAAGAAACCCCTTATTAGGCACCGTTCCAAGTTGGGGAGCCATCACCTGGACCAATAGCCCAACCTACCTTATGGATGGCAACTGCTTGCGGCCGGAATCGAACACGCGCACCAACGATCTCACCCGATGAGTCCACAGCGCCACTACGAGGAGGGAGCGGCATATACCATTTCCAGTTTGACAGTTGGCAGCGGAGGGAACTCTTTAAGGATGAAAGGTCCAGACTTTTAATTCCAGACCTTTCTAACAGGCGGTGGGCGGAAAGCGCGGCCGTGAGAGTGATCTCAGTCGGATACCAACCCCCAAAAAACGCCAAATTCTTCATTGCTGCCCATTACCGCGCTCACTCACTCACTCACCCATTCACTCACTCCCACTGTCTCTCTGTCTCGCACACATACTCACCCATGACCGACGGCGAACCCGTGTCTGCAGGGTGCCGCTGAAACTCCCGAAGCACCTCCTGTCGTTCAGCTTGCCGCCGCACCCCGGAGCTACACACGTCCAGAGACAGGAACTGCAGCAGCAACCCGCCGAACAAGAGAAGACATACCACAAGCGCATGGCGGGTGGGGCAACATCGGTCAGGCAGGACCGCAGTCGCGCTAGACCGGGCCGGGCCGATCACGGCGCAACTTGGCAACAAAAGAAACAGCAGTACGGGATGGATTGTATGGAAATGGAGTGGTTGAAGCCTGAAACAGCGCCGCACAGGGAGCAGATGTAGTAAGTACAGCGATCCCACCGTTCATCAAAGCACGCCAGGCAGGGAGAATGGCACCTCCCAAAGAGCAGAGTGGGCGCTGAATCGCGAGGCGATCAGGCGTGATAAGAGCAATAGGCTAACTGCCAAAGCCAACTCCGTTGAGGCAAGTCCGCACATACACGGAATACCATTACTGCATACCTGTCCGCGGCATATGCACTCCCTGTTACATACCTGCCAACAGGCTGATTACGTTCACAGAGCTCGTGTATCACCCAAGCCACATAGGTTCTCCAGCCAGGCAGGCAGGCAACCAGATAGCCAGCTGGACAGCCAGGCAGGCAAGCAGGCCAGCAAGAGTCATGTGCTCGCGCCCAATCTTACCTTTTCTACAAGATCCGGCTTCGCTTCCCTGTGCGCTGCCACGTCCTGCCCGCTGCCGGCGCCTGCTGCCACCCCCGAGTCATCACTCGACGCTGAAGCCGACGAATCGGTCGCCGCTGCCGCTGTTGGTGTTCGCGCTGCTACTGCTGCTGCTGCTGCAGGCATACTGCCATTGCTGGTGCTGAAGGCTGCGTTCCATGCGACTGAATGGAGGCCGCTGCACGGCCCGCAGCGCCCGTCAAGAGATACAGGTAGCTTGAGGTGTGGCTGCGCGGTGACAGGTGCTCGATCGAAAGCCGGAAGGGCAGCTGCGGCCGTGTTGGTGTAGGACGACGGATTTGTGGGAGCGAGTGTGAGGGTCCATCTGAGGCCATCTGGTTTCGGATGCGTGAATGCGGGAGGCATAATGGAGGTTAGGTGAGCAGTATGTCGGTGCGTGGGTATGGTAGCGGGTGTCGGGTGGTTGAATTCGTAACCTCGCCAGTTTTGTATTGCAGCACCAGAAGGATGGTACTTAGTGCAGTGGCGGCAGTTGTATATGTTGGCAGGGTTTCCTTAAACGTGCAATTTAGTAGCATGGAGAGGCGCCAGCATTGAGTACACAGGCCGCGAGAGAAAGGACGTGTGATGACTACGGGCGTGGGGGTGAAGTCATGGGGCCCGGCTGTGGGACGGGCCGTACCGGAGGAGCTTACCATGACCATCTGGCCAGCGCTGCAACGTGCTCCCTGCTAGGCATAACAGAGGTATGGGTGTCGCCCCGTCACAGGTGGCTTGACGCGTAAGAGAGAACACCGCTGTCTTTGATGAGACGCCGAGCCCCGAGACCAGGCGACCAACTAGCCACAGAGCCATCATCGGCACACCTATTCACTCCTAATAGCGCTAGTTGACAGGAAACAATTCAAGGCAAACAACAAAGGCACCAATTTTATATCGGGCATCAGACATTACAGGGGCGATGCCAACTTTGTTATGTCTGTTGTCATTGTAATCTTACAGCAACAAGCTCATAGGTCAGGTTGGGGGCTAATTTCTTCTCGTTGGGTTCTACAAATAAGTGCGCGACGTAGTACGGTACGACACGTCTTCCGGTCGCTCAAGTTGGCGACCTTGGCCCTTGAGGCCCATGTCCTTGGTTTCTTACTGCGTTCACACAACTAGAACAACATGTCGACACTACCCGCGGCGCTTGCGCCGCTGATGCACAGCAGATTTCTTATTGGTCTTGCCAAGTCTTTTGGCGTTATCTTGGCCTCTGAAATCGGGGACAAGACATTTTTCATCGCAGCGGTTATGGCGATGCGCAACCCGCGAATGACGGTATGAAAGAAGCCGTTTCCCAGCCCTAACGCCCAGCAGAGTCCCCAACAACCTGCCTCCCCCGGGGGCTATTTGCAGGTGTTCGCCGGTGCGATAGGTGCCCTGGCTGCTATGACGGTGCTATCAGCCGCTTTGGGTTGGGCAGCTCCAAATTTGGTGCGTAATGCTGTTGGAGGCGGGAATCAAGGCGTGTCTTGACACGCTCCTTGACTATTTGCTCCAGATCTCCAAAGTTTACACTCATTATGCGGCAGTAGCACTCTTCTTCTTCTTCGGACTTAAAACTTTGTATGACGCCTTCTTCAAGAAGGATGAGGTGCGCTTCGGTTTCGCAGTGCGAAGCAAGAAAGCATGGGCATTCTTAAAGAGCCTGGTATATACAGGGAGAAGAATCAGAGCTTGAGCAAGTGGAGCACGAGCTCAGCGATATGAACAAGAGCAAGAGCGCAGGGAAGGACATGAAGGACATGGAGAAACGGAGGACTAACATCATGGTTGCGTTGCTAGGAATGCTCTTTTCCCAGATCTTCTTGAAATCGTTCACGCTTACGTTTCTTGCGGAGTGGGGCGACCGCAGCCAAATAGCCACGATCGGGTGAGTCCGCCACGGTGACCTCAGAGGGCAGCTTATAATGTGCCGTAATTCAAAGATATTGATTCAGATAAGAGCATTCCTTGACGGAGTGGGGTTTGCAGGAGCAATTTTGCAGCCGCGCAACTGCCGGTCCGCTCGGTTTCCCCAACCCCGACCCTCCGTTCTGGGGGTACCATGAGCGGCCTCCACCCATACATGACCTTGCTTGAAATGCCCTTCCCGCCACGGGGTTTCCGTACCACATCATTCTGCGAATTTGTTCAGGCTGGCGGCCTCGGAAGACGTGGTAGGAGTTACCATCGGCGGTATCCTAGGACACAGTGCGTGTACGGGCGCCGCCGTGATCGGCGGGCGCCACCTAGCTACCCACATTAACGAGCACACAGTCGCGGTGAGGTGCAGCATGGTGGTGGGCGTGCTTCATAAGCGCATGCGGGGATGGGCTCGGCTGGGCTTTGGCTGTGGCGGATCACACTACATGCTGTTACGGTTTGCTGCCAACTTCTTACTTCTAGTTACTGTCGGCAATACAGGAGTGTGCATACCTGGGTTAACAGCACCTGTATCCAGTACCCTCCTGTCGGTCTTACCTTACCGACAGGGAGGATTGCGGGAATGGGTTGGATGGAGACCTAGGTGAAGCTGTCTTGCTTTTGGCTTGGCCCCAGGCCTAGCCCCAGCTAGGACTTGGCGTGGAGGCCGTTTAATAACTGACACTCCGTTCTGACATTTCCCTGTGTGCTCACTTGCACTGCTGCGACAGATCTTTGGCGGCGTCATGTTCTTGTTGTTTGGCGCGCACGCTCTTTGGACAGGGCCGTAATGACAGCGCTTTGCTGTAATCAGCCTATTACTTATGCGCAGCAGCCCGCTAGACCTGGAGCTGCAGCGAAAGTTTTGCACGCACTCGCCAGAATGGCGCCGGTCGTGTTGAGCTGCTATCCTGAAGGCTACTTTTGGCTGCGATGGCGCATCATCGATGGATCATTCTTCCGTCGCCCTGCAGCGGATAGACATTTGCATGGGATTTGGCCTGCGGTTCTGGCTACTCATCTGAGATCTGCATCTGCAGTGAGAGGAGTGAGGGGCGATGCGTCAGCTCGAAAGTGGCCGCGGCTTGAGCTGGCTAGGCCTGGCGACGGAAGGGCATCAGCTGGGCCGTGGCAAAATTATGCGGCAGTTGTTCGAGGCTAGGGCCGCAGGGTTTATATGTCGGTGCAACCGCTCTTGTGCTCTAGGTCAGCTGCAATTAGTATGTACCAGCAGCATTGGACCGACATTTTCATGGCGTCGCAACTTAGCAAAAACTCTCGATGTGGGTCTTCCCGCAAGTGGGTCATCCGGAGCGTGCCTCTTGTGCCTGTTGTGGACCCCAGCCAGCTTTTGCCGATGGCCTTTGCCTGCCTTTCATACTGGAAAAGCACTCGCGTGGAATTACCCAAAACAGTGGCCGAGCACGGGCGCCATCTGTGCGCCGCGATGCTGCACATCATTCCGGCAGGAGGCATTGCCATGGAGCGGGCGTTAGTGCATCAGCTTCTGTGGCGTTGCATTGGGTGCAGCGGCGGGAATCAGGGCGACGAATTGCGAATTCCAGGGCCGTGCGCCAAGGGAGGTCCCAGCAGCTATGAAGGGCCGACTTTCTGATGACCTGAGCAGGGTCGCACCTGGCCGCTTGGCCCGGCTTTATATCTCTCTGTCAGACGCGTTGGACACCCATTTTCCAGACTGAAGCAGCTTCGGGTCGCTGTTTCGTACAGATGTCGGAGCTTATCATCACATGGGAGTCCCACTGGGCAGTAGCTTGTCCCTGCCGCCTTCTGGCATGGCGCCTGTTTGGGTTTGGGTTGGGCGGCCCTAGTTAGTTGCAGGCATGTGGGCCGGTGGAGCTGTCCGAGACGTGGTGGGTGGGGTTCAGCTGGGGCGTGCGCACCTAAAAAGGATGTGTCCGTGCAGGTTGCGATGCTGTGCCGAAAGATACGATGTATGAAGTTATGGTGACATATTCGTAAGAGGGTCCAAGCACACAGCTGTTAGTTACAGCGGAAGCTCGGTGAGATGCCGGTTGGTGGTGCCAGTCCGGTTCGAGGGACTTCAAGGATCGCATGACTTTGACCAATCTCAGTGCTGTGTGTCGTCTCTCTAGTTTTATCAGTGGGGGTGTCGCTGTGAAGTAGTCCTTGATGCATGTTCAGGTCTGGACCAGACCAGGCGGAAGAAGTCTAGATGGGGCGGAATAGTCTGATCTTCGCAGCCTCCCACGCGAGCGTGCGGGGCAAGTGGCGGCTATTGTACAGGGGTGGGGCTTATGGCTAGCGCCCGTCATCATATCGCATATAGGCATATTAGCATCGCAAATGAAATTGTGGAGCGGAGGAACACCGCAGCGGAGGACTTTCAGCAGGTGGCCTTGGTCGCCTGTGAGGAGAACGCCCTGCCAAACCGGAGACCTGGCGGTTCCTGTGGTCGGCTGTCGATGTAAGGGTCGCAAGAAATCGCTATGCTTGAACTGATATGCTGTGAGCGTTACTAACGGGGTGCGCGCTTCGCGAAACGCTGCATGGCGGAGGAGGGTTCCTCCGGAGCCCGATAGAATCATCCTGATTGACGCGCTTATTGCGAGCATCGGTAGACCGACATTCATATACCATGTGTAAGCATGGCGCCAGGTTAGCCAGCTGTGCTACGGTCCGGCCCCAGGATTAGGAGTGCCCCCCCCCGGATTGGATTGGGACCCGGCCACAGGATTAGGATTAGAACCCCGCCCCTAGGATATGGATTAGACCACCACTCTGGATTAGGAATTAGAAGTGGTCCACCCCTGTTGAGATTAGAGGATTGCTGACCGGTACCCACCCCCTGGATTAGAGGATTAGGACCACTTTGCATCCCTCTGAGCCAGCTGTGCTACGGTTGCTGTGAAGTCATACTGCGCCATGGCCTTTATCAGGTCTACAGACCTTAATTGTCCACGACGCGAAACCCACTAATCCGTCGCAGAACACCAGCGGGAAGCGCAGTCGCTATAGCTTTACATGCTAACAGGCAGGAAGGTCAACCTGAACACTTCGGACGACTGCATGGAGACACGTTGGAAAAGTGCATCCTGTTTCCCGACAGGTATGTTGCATTGCGCAGTCATTACCAGTAACAGTATGTCCTAACCTGAACAGGAGTCCCAACCTGAAAAGAAGAAAGTAAATCTGCCTGTTGGTAATTTTGCTCATGCAGCGCTTGCGTGCTTCGACAACATCTCGCCTGACAGCCTTCCAAGGACGAGCTCCAGTGGTGCCACGCGCCTTCTTCACAAGGTAATGACCGTTTCTCCACAGTTCCAAGCTTTCATCGCGACTTGCCCTTTCAGCTCTGCCGTGCGAATAAGCACCCCGAATGAGGATCGCCCGGAACCACTTTAAGCAAACCGCTTCGCAGGGAAACCACACGTACAATCTCATTAGAAAACATCAATGCAGAGCACGCATGGTGCTGGGCGAACTGGGATGAACTTCAACATTTTGCTCCCGATGCAGGCTGGGTAGTGTTTTATCAGGGCTTCGCTCAGGAGGCGCACCCATGGCGTACACAACCGACAAGTGGTGGGATGAGAACACGGTGGCTGTAGTAACGGGAAGCAACAAGGGCATCGGCTTCGAAATCGCCAGGATCTTTGCAGAGGTCTGGGCGGGACTTGAGGCGTGTGCTATTGGAAAAACCCAAGGGGACCAAAAAGGAGCAGGGGGGTTCAGAACGAGGCCGTGGGGCTGGGTGGGGTCGTGGGTTGCGGCCTCCTGGACGATCGGCCATTCCGGATCGCCTGGAACACCGGACGAGGATCCGTGGCCCGTCGATCCCGTCTCTATACAAAAACGAAAATTGGGGACTGCCGTTCTTGCGACTCTTGCTGGTCTGCAGTTCCTATTGCAGCAGCAGCAGCTTCCGGTACCCAGCCCAGCACGTGCGTTCTGTGGTATTCCCCGGGTTGCCCCCCGCCATTTCATTCATTAGAGGTGTTGCACTAGGTGGCAGTAGGTGGCAGTAATTGAAACTCCCAATCGGATATGCGCTCTGTGTGTTACTGCTGCGCTGACCTCGCCACCTGCTACTGCCTTGTGGCCTTGCGCGGGGCGCTGTGGTGCCGCTAGGCCGCAACCCCCGGGGGAATTACTTTGTTTAAATCAAAACCCAGCTTAGCTCCCAGCTAAGTTGCCTGCTCAAATTTGCATCGGCATCGGAAGGCAGGCGTGTCTTGTTAGGTGTCGGTGCAGCAAGCATGCTTTGCACGCCTTGCTTAAGCCTAGCCTTAGCAGCCTTACACGAATGCGGAATTCGAGCTCGAACGCGTGGGACGCCAAAGCCCCGAAACCCACCCCGCCCGCCGTGCTCCCGCATCTCCCGCCTTTCTGCAACCCTGTCTACTTGCGCCCACCCCTGAACACTCGTTCGCGATTCGCCTTTCCCCACCCCTGAACCCAAACGAGCTGAACGCAGCAAGGCATCACCACCGTGGTTACGGCACGCGACGGTAAGCCCGGAGTACGAATGAGTAGGACTTCTGTACACGGGCAGTAGAGGATTGACTGCGTTGAGGAAAGCAGTTTATCAACTCTCTGTATCCAATCTGCAGCAGTAGCAGCAGCCGTAGTAACAGCGGTAGCAATAGCAACAGCAGTAGCAGCAGCAGTAGCAGTAGCAACAGCTTAGCAACAGCGTTGGCATTAGCAACAGCCGTAGTAGCAGCGGCAGCAATAGCAACAGCGGCAGTAGCAGCAGCAGTAGCAGTGGAGAGCAGGCAGTCGCAGGGTTTGGGCAGCCTTGTTTCGGAGCGGTACCTAGATGGAGGCCTTGTCAGCAAGCCAGCGGGGTAGGGTTGACACCTTCCTTGCCATGTGGGTGAGCCCCTCCCGTCGGTCGATAACCCCGCATTAGCAGCCCCCAACTCGCTTCCTCCTTCTCCAGCTCCCCCCTCTGGTGTGGGATGGTCCGTGTGTTTCCCCTACCTCCCCTTTGCCCCGTGGCACCTGGTGCACGATGACATCTTGCACGTGTTGTACTCCTCACCTGCACGTGTACTCCTGCTTGTACGGATCTTCGTGTACGGCATGACATAACGCTCGTGTGGTTACGGTGGTGGTGGCCGCGGGCTGTGCGGAACTTCAGAGGAGCTTGGGCGGCAGGCCGTGGCCAAGATCAAGGAGATAGGTGGGTGGTAGTGGGTGATAGCATCCACCCAGCGCGAGAACAAAAAAGGCGAGGTAAGTAGGTAGGTAGGTAGGTAGGTAGGTAGGAGGATGTAGATTTAGATAACAGGGGGGGACTTATCCGAGTACTGGGTTGCGGTCAAGGTATTGTTGGGAAGCCGGGGGTCCCGAAGGGCGCCCGGGGCCAGACGGCGGGAGCTACCATGCAGCCTTCAGGGCTTTCCGAATCGTCGGTCCAGGTTGTGGTAAGGCACCGCACCGTCAGCGGACCGCGTGACAGAGACACCCCCCCCCTGGTTCGGTCCGTGCACCACCTAGCCTCGAATCTCGCTGATGTGCGGCGCACGTGCCGCACCATACCCCCACGCCGTGCCGTGTCCCTCTTACCTGCCTCGGCTCCTGTGTTTCTTTCTCCCCTTCCCCCCCCGCAGCCCCCTCTTCCCGAGTGCTGCTGCACCAGCTGGACATCTCCGACCCGGCCTCCGTTGACCGCTTTGTGGAGTGGCTTCGGAGCGATCTGGGTGGCCTAACCATCTTAGTCAATAATGCAGGTCCGCGGGAAGTCTCTACAGTGGGCTTTTTCTTTCCAAGATTTCTTCTCCGAAGTAGCCAACACCGTGCGTGTGCGCGCGTGTGTGTGTGTGTGTGTGTGTGTGTGTGTGTGTGTGTGTGTGTGTTTTATATTGCGTGTCTTATGGCGCGGACATGAAGTGTCGAGGATGGCGACCCGTGTGTATATCCGTGGAAGCATGTGTGTGTATAGACGGATTGTGCAGGACGGATTGGTCAACTGGCCCCGTAATGGGGATGTAACGGGATGTACAGATAGCTGCGATGTCGGGTGTAAAGGATAACTTCTTACTTAACTTCGCTCGAACCGCTCGACTGCGCCTCATCCACCCGCACCCCGCCTGGTGTCAGGTTTTGCTTACAAGGGCAACATCTTCGGTGCGGACGAGGCCCAGGTCACCCTGGTGGGTGGTGTGGGTGGGTGGGTGGGGGTGGCTGACGGTTATGATATTCCTAGTCCAGGGAGGGAAGGTGAGAAGGGCGAGCAGGCGCCGTTGGATTATGTTGGGCCAACGGCTGTCTGTCTGTCTGTCTGTCTGTCTGTCTGTCTGGTCAGGGCGTGGATCAGTCTTAGAAGTGCCTCTACAAATGTAAGAATGCACCCCTTCGTGACTCGACTGCCTGCGTCCAGCTGCCACACCGTCACACCAACTGCCGCCGGCAACTGAACTGCCTCCCAACTGCTCCCCACAACCAACCGCCGGGCACAAATGCTAATGCGGGCATCAATGAAGGGCATTAATTTCCTGGGCACTCGAGCCCTGACCGACAAGCTGGTTCCGCTGCTCAGAGGTCCGTCCCGCATCGTCAATGTGTCGTCCAGGCAAGTGCGAATTACAGGGGTTGTGGTGAGTTGTGTGTGGGAAACTGGAAATCGTCTAACCCACCACCACACATCCCGGCCTCCCTAGACTTCGATTTCAGTTCTTGCTTCCTCCGTGCTTCCGCTTCAGGGCCGGTCTGCGATCCATTGTCAAGTCCCCCCAGCTGCTGGGCCGCCTCACCTCCGCCAAGACGCCGTACGAGCTCCAAACACTGGGACAGGAGTTCGTGGACGCCATCCGGGCTGGAAACCACGCCGCGGCCGGCTGGCCCAACTCAATGTACGGTAGGTGCGCAGCATATGCTGTACGGTCTGCTCACCAACTTCTACTTGGTTTCCCGACTGCGAAACCCTTTCTCAGCTTCAGTCGTCAGGATAGATAGATAGTTTTATAGCAGATTTTGGAAACTGTTTGCAACAGTTGGTTTGTAACGGCTGCGCCTCGGCTCACAGTGTGAGCATGCTAGCCAGCCGGCCCGGGTTCTCTTGTCGCCTGTTTGATCTACCTCCCCTCCCTCCTCCCTCCCCCCCACCCCCCAACACGCGCCCATCCATCTGACCTGCAACCGGCCAGGCACGTCTAAGCTGATGTTGTCATTGTGGACGGCTCAGCTGGCGGATCAATTGCGGGACAAGGGAGTCATGGTGAACGCCATGTGCCCCGGGTAAGGGTCTCCGGAAGGGGGGGAGAGGATGGCGACTGGGGGAGCACAGACCTGGGAAAGAGAAAAGCCCTCAGAAACAGTTCAGAACAACTAACTATCTTCAGCTGGAAAAATTGCCATGTTTGCCTCACCTTGCGCCTGATCGGCCGTCCGGCCTCCCTGCCCGCCTGTCATACCTTTTTACCTCAGATGGTGCCGTACTGACATGTCTAGTCAGGTGGGTGCTCTCTGGAATTGGTGTCAGCTGGGGACCGCGGCTGGGCAGGGGTTTCACACAGTGGGGGGTGGGGACGTACTGGGTGATGAAGGCACATAATACTTGAGTGACGGGATAGCCCATATGCACACCGTAGCAGTCCCGTTGTAGGTTTCTTCGGCCCGTCGGCTGGCCTGTGGACCTTGCATGGCTTTCTTTGCCTAGGGCTCCCTTTAGTGAGGCCCCACCTGGTAATGTAATCACATTTGTGGTGATCGTAGAAACCAGCAACCGTCCCGTCGAGCATCGTCCATATCCCGCGTCCACCGCTTCATTTTTTTGTACCGTGATCTTATCATTTAGCCAAATGTTGTCACATCCCGCTGTGTTGCTCCTGTGGCCTCCTTCGCCTTTTTCCCCATCACCGATCCGGACATCCCCCTCATCGCCGCTGGCGGCGTTACGCCTTCCCCTTCCCAATGCGGGTTTCTTCTATCCTTTCCTACTCCTCTTCCACGTCATGAAAACACACGCATACAAACGCTGTGCAAGTAGTCGGGTACCAAGAGTGCCGCCGACGGAGCCGATACCGCGGTGTGGTTAGCGCTGCGCAGCCCTCAGGACTTCAAGACAGGGGCCTTCTGGGGGGAGCGGAACATCATCTCCTGGTGAGGAGCCGGAACCGAGCGGCGTTACTCCGATACGACCTGTCCTGCTAAGCTTTTTTGGTGCATCTTCGTCGGCTACGCGGATTTAAACCTGAATATGTTGGCGAGAGAGCGATCCGCAGGCCGCCTGATCTATTGCAAGAGTTTGCAGCAACACCAGCTGATACTGTCGTATCGGACGATTCTACTGATTGTACGGTCGGAGGACGGAAGTTACGGTATACTCGCGGAATTCGTCGTAAAGAGAGAACTGGAAGCTTGTGACTGCGCGTCTCAATACGATCGTTGTTGCAGCTGCTCCATATTGTTGACACTGCTGGCATAACGACACCAAGTTTTGGAATGCTGTTTGAGCATTTCTCGTGCTGGGTTCTCTGGTATTACACGCCGCCCATTTGGCTGTCCTGGCTATGGTTTAATTCGTTTAGGGTCTTAGTGGCTCTATGCATTAATTGGCACAAGATGCACAAGGCGCTTGGCCAAATAGCCCAGCGATATATCTGGATTGTTTACTACTTGATGGCGTGGATGGTTAGTGGATTGCCGGGTGGACACGTGATCACGTATTACAAAGAAATTGTAAATTAGCCAAAGCTAAATTAGTGTATGTCCAACCAGTAGGCAATTATCCTTTCGACGCGCACAGATTTTCACAAAAGCCTGGCAACCCGGTGTCCTGTATTCGCCTACACCCGAGCCCAAGATCACACAAAGCTCTCCGTACTTCTCCACACGCCGTTTGGTCGTACAAAATATGTCTCGATGTTGGACGAGGACGCTCTTAGCTGGCTAACGCTACCAATAAACATTCACTCCATACTCCTTACCCTGTTGTCACACACACGCTCCTCTCCTCCATATCACGAAGTCATTCGACCTCCAGACCAGAAGGCTACCTGCATCCCCCCTTACCGCACTGATAAACTTTTGTAAAAGAATACGCGTGTAAATTAATAAACACCAGGCAGCCGATGTGCAAGGGGCCGCGGTCCTCTCAGCCGCTGCCGTCACACCTTCACTCCACTAGACCCTCCGCTGCATATCATTACTACAAGTGATTCCAACCAAAGGCAATGGATGTGCAAGAAGAAATTAAAGCGAATTTTGGCAATAGCTATTAAGCTTAGGGTTTGACACAGCATCATGCGCACTAATAATGCGGCAAGAGCGCGAAGCACGAAATGCACGGATGTGTCACCTGCATACATCAAGAAGAGTTGGCGCACCAAGCAGAAACCACCTCCTCACGAGTGCACAATCACCCCTAACCACCTGCTCCAAGGCGGCCATTGCCCCTGCCATTCTTTTCCATTCAGCTCGCTTCAGCACAAGCCGGTGTCCTTGGGCAGGCAGGCACACAACTCCCGCAGAGGAGGAGGGAAGCCAACTGCCCGACGGAGCAGTAAAAATGTAAATGGGTTGAGCCATTTCCTTACGACAAGGGCTTTGGAGTTCAGGAATGCAAGGGGCCCGGCACGGGGTCGTAACCTGGATCTGGCCCACATACAGATGCACGTTCACGAGCCTAGTTTATGCCAGCAGACTGGAGTTGTTGTTATGACGGTGGCTGTCCTTGAGGTCCTTGGCCAGTTTATCCCGCGCCGCCTCTACCACGCGCACCTAAGCAAAAACAACAAATACGACGCACATTACGAGAACGTCAGAGGGCCTGCGAATCTTCTCATGTGTCATCAGATACTTGTGGGCAGTGTAGGGTTGGCTTTCACACCACATTTAGGAAGTGGGTTTGCGGGTTTGAGCGATGTACATGCCCGCGACGTACCTGCTGCATAGTCATGAATTTGCCGGCCGGCACCACCAGGACAGGCTCCCCATCGGCCTCCTCCAGCGACCAACCCAGCGCTGTGAGCGCTTCCACGGCTCCTTGTGTATCACTAAGGACGGCCTTGACTTTAGGGTTTGCTAGGCGGACCTTGCGGAATTTATCCTCCTTGGGCTGGACAGCACAATTATATACAAGCTTATGGATCATCTCAACAGCCTCCATGGATTTCACGGCCTGCAAGCCCAACGGCCAACGCCATGCAGGTCCAAGTAATGGATTTGCGCAAGACATGCAAGCCAAGCTATTATTGTGCTCTGGTTCAAGGCATGAACGTCAAGTCCCAGAGACCCAGCAAGGAACACCAAAACTCCATCGTTCCACACACCACTCAACAAACCTGCACAGCTGCCTCAACCTCGCTCGGCTTCGGTGGCGGAAGCTTGGCCGAGACATAGCCACCGTAGCCCATTTTTTAGAATTAGGGAGTTTCACGAATCGGTCCTACTTCTGCAACGCTTCGCCCAGAAATATAGGCGAATAGGCCTTCAGAAGGACCTATATATATATTCTGGGCTTAGAATGACAGCAGGCTCTGAGAACTTGAGGACACGTCGCAGAGCGCTCACCAAGGATGGAATTAGGCCGCGGCCGGCAGGAACCTATGTGTAATTTCAGAAATCTATTATGCATAGATTTCTGCTGGCCTAGATTAAAGGACAACCTCCGCGTTTTATTGCATGGTGCATGTTGCACGACTCTTGGATCCTGCATGCATCCGTTTGAAGGGCAACATGACTACGATCACCGTCATGCTGAGTGCATGTTCATTCTGTTTACTCTATGCGGGAGAAAAACGAGGAAACGGTGTATCGAGTACCCCGCTAACTCGTTTCTCCCAAAATATCGTTGCCCAATTTTGCAACATTTGTGGGTGATGTTTGTTCGCTAATACATTACAGGCTAATATAGGTATAGATTACAGGCTAATAGATTATAGATTATTGCTTGGTGGTTATATTCAGTGTTATCTATTCAGAAGAATAGAATTCCACATGTCTCTCATTGTTCATGGATCGTTCATATCATGTTGAACGCAGCCCATCCCATTAACAATGAGCACATAAGTTATGTTGGGCCAGATCAGTAGTACGGTGGGGAACCACGTGCGAAACCCTGGTGACGATTTTTTTTATAAATTGTAAACATTGTGGGGTTACAATTTTTCCCTTACATGGTGATTGAAGTTGATCCTTTTTCCCCACCTTGCTGCGGGAAGCTTGTACACTAAAATCGCTTTTCATGTAACCGGGTGCGCCTTACATAGCTTGGGCCAGCCAATCTGAAATAACTTTCGATAGGCATGAGCCTATATATGACCACAAAATATTATATTCAAATGCTCTAGAAACGCCTGTAAAAGTCGCTGTGCACGGTGTCGCCGCAGTTCAGTAGCTTCTTGCTGCACCACAACCAGAAATCAGCTGCTTCCCACGGCGTGTTAAGCAATACTCTACCACTATTCATTATAAAATGATGCTCTATCAAAACGTTAGTTATATTACCAGCCGCCCTTGGCTGCAGCGATTCTGGCAGTGCAGGGGTATCTGTTTTCCCACCTCCGGACGCCACTTCGAAAGGTCCAACAGTGGGCGGTGTTGCGAAGCACAGGGGCCACTTCTTTTGCTGTGCTCAAACATCCCTTTACCTCGAGGCAGTGCGCTCCTGAACGACCTGACTAACTAGACGAGGACGAGGAGGCGGCCGAGGGGCACCTCCCGACCTATCCGTCTACCTTATATTCCGATAACAGCCCTCTGTACATGCGTGCCGCCATCGCCCCAACCCCAACCCACCCAAAACACGCAATCGCCACAACCTCTCCATCCTGCCCGCTTACCCTCACTCCCTTCATGATTAGCCCTCCAGGCGCCCTGCACCTCAAGCACAGGACCGCACCGCAAGAGGGACACCATAGCAACCCGCGGGCTGTGCCATAAAGCATAAAGCACGCTGTGCATCACGCCACCAGGAGCATCAGCCCGTACACTGCTGCCCTCCTACCTCTCCCCTGAAGTCCTTTCAAAACTCAAGTCTCTCTCTCTCTCTCACACACGCATACACACACACGTCCTCTCTGCCCTACCTATGGAACACGCGCCGTCCTAATAACGAACCGCTCTACGCGCGCCCTCATCCTGAGGTACAAACCGTCGTCAGGTCCTAGGCCCCCCCCCCTCACGAGTACAACACCGTCACATAACAACAAACACGCGCCCCACGCCATCCCGCCATCCCACGTCACTCCTCTACCCGCCAACCCCGACATGCGCCGTCTCCTGCACATCAGTGAGGCGGGGAGGTGGCCATGAGAGTCAGCCCACCACCGCGCGGCCCACCACCCTTTCCGCTGCGCATGCCCTGCAGCCCGCCGAACCCAATCTCGCGAAACGCATCAATCTCCTCGTCTGCATCCAGGTCCAGATCATTGCCGCCGGCGCTGCCCGCATCCGAACCCTGGATGGATGGATACAGGCGACCGGGGGCCCGAGCAGCCAAGGGAAATGATTGACACCATGCGGCGCCATTCCAAGGTAAAACCCACTAATTTCATTTTTCAACAGCAGGCGGCCCCAGTCAGCGCAACGAAAATCGACCCCAAAAGGCAGCTGCTTGCGTAAAATCTCAAGCAAACCCCAACCCCCCATCCGCACTCCTGCAACCCAACAAGCCCCCGGCGCGACGCATCACAACCCCCGGCCCCTCCACTCACCGACAGCCGGTCACGCACCACGTCCATGGCATCCACTTCCTGGTATAGCCCCGCTAGGTCGCCGTTGTTGAAGTCCAAGTCGGGTTCTGCGGGGGAGCCGGGTGGCTGCAGTAGCGCCGCATCACCCCGCCGCAGCTGGTGATAATCTTGGTGATGTTGACCAAAGGAATTGCACCCCGCGCCGCCGTCGTCCAACGCAAATGCCGCATAGTCGCCCGCATCGTACCCGTAACCTCCGTACGCCTGCGGCTCGTCGTACAAGTTACTAGGCCGGCCCGCCAAAGTGGTGCCCTCGCCGCCACCGCCGTACGTGTTGCCGACGTGCATGGGCGTAGGACTTGGGGGCCCCACCATCGGGGCGCCATCGACTCCACCATACAAGTCCGAGCTACCGACGCGGGCGCCATCACCGCCATCACCGCGGCTGTCACGCAACACGGGAGCTCCCAGGCTGAACGGCGCCGTGCTGCGTCCCTCTACCTCCACCTCCACCACCTCGGCGTCGCCGCCGTCCCCACCGCCGCTAACGCCGCAGGCCGCCTGCGCAGCCGCTGCGCCGGTGCCCAGCCCCCCGCCACGGCGCGCGGAGGCTGCCACGGCGGCTCTGCTGCTGCCCTGGTCCTGGTCCTGGTCCTGGTCGTGTTGGGGCTGCCGGTCACTTCCCGATCCGGGACTGCCGCCCTCGCCCTCACCCTCGCCCTCGCCCTCACCAGGGGCCGCTGCTGCTGCTCCTGCTGCGGGACCAGCATCGGACTGGAGGAGGAGGGGCGGTGCAGGCAGTGGTACGAGCGACAAGCAGCGCAGCATCAGCAGTAGCAGTAAGAGGTAAGGCGCGGTGAAGCGGGGGCAGTGAACGTTGTGATGATGGTCTTCCGCACCGGCAGCTCGGACGACCACACCATTTTCCCAGCTGGCTCAGGGTACATCTGTCCCACACCCCACACAGGGCTATACTAGGCCGCTCTCCCCTCGAGGGCTCATCAACCCCAAACCCCCAAATCCAGCCCCACCCCTATATAACCCTAGACACCCTCCACCTGTACAATTCTGTCCAACCCCGCTCCCAGCCCCAGCTCTCCCATCACGCAGCTCTCCACCCCCCACATGAACCCCCGACACGCACCGCCGCCGCCGCGGCCGCTGCTTGTTGCTGCAGCTCTGTGCGCTGCTGTCTGAGCTGCTCGAGGAGGTCCCCCAGCTCGCGGGGGTCAGCGGAGGCCTCTGCCCGGCGGCGGTAGAACAGCACATAGGCCGCCGGGGAGCGCACCCCCTCGGGGTCCACGGAGGACACCCGGCTGTCATCAAAGCAGTACCACCTGCATGGCGGGTGGCGGGTGGTGTTAGGGTTTTTGATGATCTGATGACCCGCGGGCGGGCACTGGGGAGGGTGCCAACGTACACGCGTAACAACGACTTCGTTAAGTCCTTGGCAAGCTGACGTGACGTATTCAGATGCGTTTGTGGGAAAACGGGGCAGTGTAGGAGTGTAGAGTGAGTGCGTGAGTGCGTGAGTGCGCTTGCTGATGGTGCGTTTGTTGACGGAAGCCCCGACACCAGGACACCGAAGACCGCGTATGTGCGTATGTGCATACGTATGTACGTACGTACCTGTCCCCCGAATGCGTCGCTGCCTCCTGTGTCTGCGCGTCTTGCGGCGGTGAGGGCAGTTTGGCGTATGCGGTGTAGTGTCCGCCGCCCATGGAGCCGTAGTGGTTGGACACCGCAAAGAGGTCATAGACGGGGGGTACGCTCTGGGGCCGCAGCACATAAGGCCCCAGATCCAAGCCGTGCAGCGGGAAGTCCACGGGCGTGTCCAGCTTGTTCCGAGAGTAACTACGGTTGCGGACCAGAAAGTAAATAACAATAATAGAAAAAATTATAACAATAACAACAATACGCTGAGCGACAATAGTACAATATGGAAACGGAGTTAGGGGCAGTTAGGAAGAGTGATTGGGGATGTTGTGGGGGGTTGGAGGGGGGTTGGAGGGGTTTCCCGGCTGTGTGGTTTTCGAGGGGTGGTGAATCACCCCTAGGTGGTACTGGGCCAATAGGATGCGGGAGAGGACGGGGTGTGTGTGTGTGTGTGGATGAGGCACAAACGCCACCGGACAGACATACGGATATACAGCTTAGGCAGGCGGGTTATACTCCATTTCCCCCGTAACTGCACCTCTCTCGCCCTCTCTCCCCCAGGCCCCCCCCCCACACACACCAACCTGACCCCCTCCGCTGTAGGGCAGCACCCAACCCTTCCACCTGCCCAACTACTCACCACTCCCCAGATTCAACCTTTTGCCGATGCACCCTTTCCCCCCCCCTCCCCTCCCCTCACCCTACCACACCCCGGTCAGCCCGTCATACCGTGTGTAGCTGAACCTCTTCAGGTGCACCACCAGCACCTCCGGCAGGCTCCAGAGGTCCAACTTCTTGTCGGCGCACACGTGGGACTTGCAGCGGGGACAGTACCTGTACAGGGAGGAAGCGGCAGCAGCACCACCACGACCACCATCGCAACCAGCAGCATCAGCAGCAGCAGACGTGACAAGACGGAGACGGAGAGGTATTTGAGCGGTTTCGAAGCAGACAGGAAAGCCGGAATAGCCGAAGGAACAGCCGAAGGAGGAGGAGGAGGAGGTGGAGGAGGAGATGCAGATCATTTGCGATGAACACCCTCCCTCCTCCGCAAAACTTCCCAAACTCCCAACTCCCACCAAGCCAGAGTGCCAGATAGGCACGTAGACAGATAAACAGACAGATAGACAGACAGACGGACAAACGCCCACCATGCATCGCTCTCCGCCAGTCTTTCCGGCTGTAGGAAAGTGGTCATGCACGCGTCCAGGCTGACCGGCTGCGGCCCCGCTGCCGCCCTCCGGCGCTGATCCCGCAGAGAGGGGTGCTCAGAGGGACTGTCCAGCAGCTCGGGGTCGTACAAGACCCTCCCCCCGGAACGTGCGGCCTCCGGGGTTGCGCAGGTGCCGGTGGCGGTTGTGGTGGCGGTTGGCGGGTCGTTGAAGAACAGAAGGAACTCCCTGGGCGCGGTTCACGTGAGCAGGAAGAAGAATAGCAGTGGTAGTTTGTGGTAATAGTAATGGGTGGCGGTATTCAGTTACGGGGATTACCGTACGATGCCGTACTCTACGGCCGTCTACCACAGCCCCACAAAGGCAGGCAACGTGTCAGCGGGCGAAAGGGGCCAAATATGGAGTAAAAAAAGCTCCCCGGGTGTTTGTGTGTGTGTGTGTGTGTCTCCGTACGCTTCCTCATGGCCTCACTTCGTATTCGGCCGCGGATGATGGCACTGACCTGTGGTGCTCAACGTTGATCTCCTTGTCATCGTACAGGTCCCACAGCGTCGGGTCGCCCTTGGGGTTACAGAGCTTTAATGAGAAGGGGCGGCCGGGGGCGGCCCCAGATGGCTCCGCAGCTGGAGGCTCCACAACGGCTGGAGGCTCCTTCCGCAGGTTGCCGCCGTAGCTCCCCTGCACAGCGGGGTAACAAAAACTACGTTAGCAAATAGTATTGATAACCCGCGGCACAGCACGGGGCGGATGACAGGGTGGATGGTCGTGTCTCCTTAAGAAGCGAATGGATAGTGGCCCCGCCGTTAGGTGTTAACGGCCATCAAGGTCATCGTTGCAAGACCTCCTGGGGGAGCAGTTCGCGTGCGTGCGCGCGCGCGCGCGCGCGAGAGAGAGAGAGAGAGAGAGAGAGAGAGAGAGAGGAGCACAGAGACCGCAGGCCGGGGTCCTCCCCCGCCGCCGCCGCCTCCTCCTCCTGCGCCCTCTCGCCACACTCTGTGTGTAGCATGGCCAAAGGAATCTCACTCACCCCGCCCACCCCCGACTCCATCATCACCCTACCATCCAACCTTCCTCCCCAGAACCCGTACATCATCACTTCACCAGCTCACCACCATGTCCCCACACTAGTCCGCATGGACATATCCGCACCAGGGCATCGCCTTACCACGTCCCACATGTTAAACGGTTCGACATCTCGGGGGCCCAGGCACCCAGTGGTCGCCGCATCCGCGCTTGGCGGCGGCCCCGCCAGGATGACCGGTGGCAGCGCCAGCGGCGCCGCCGCCACGTCATCCTCCATGCCCACCCAGGCCACCGGCTGCGGTGTGCCTGGCATTGATGAGTCACCGTACGCGGCGCCGCCGCCGGCCAGGCCGCTGGCGGAGCGCACTGGTACGGCATTCGCCGCCGACGCCAGCGGGAACACAAACTCCATCCCCTCCATAAATTCGGCGCCGTCGGCAGCGGCGGACTTGCCGCCGCTGCCGCTGCTGCAACGCCGAAGGGGCGCCTCGAGGCCACCGCCGCTGCTGCCACTTCCCCCGGCGGTGGCGGCGGCAGCAGCGCCGCGGTCGCCATCCCACACCGGGGTGCCCGGGCGTAACGCCTCATCACTACTGGGATCGTCAGCACCGGTCACGGCGACGGGCCTGCCATCCTCCTCCATCGGCACCGCCGCCGCCACCGCCTGTAGCTCACCTGCGCCGCTACTCCGCCCTGCGACGGCTACGGCATCTGTTTCAGCGGCGACCAGCGGCGGCGGTGGCGGAACCGCAATCATCGCGCTCGCCGCCTCCGCCGACGGTCCTGACGCGGCCTGCACCTCCGCGGCGCGGCTTGCGCCATTCCCCGCCGCCGGAAACGCTGACGCGTCCGGGGACAGGCTCTGTATGGGTCTCAGGACCTCCACGAGGGCCGACGACAGCGGGCAGTCCCCCGATATGACCCACTCCTGTTTATCCGTTTTATTGGTCCGTGTCACTTTCATCACCTGATCCGGATCGTAGGGGGGCTGGGCCTCGGGCATATACAGCACCTGCATTCGGGATAATTCATCATCTTGCAATGTGGCACTATAGTGGGGTGATGCGCTACGTTCGCTCCGATACTGGACACTGCTAGCAGCATCGAGCAGTCCCAGATGAAAAAATTGCCTCGCAGCGTATCTGGGTTGTTTTTTGTGTGTGCGGAGCTCCGCCTTGCCTTTTTGCTCCGTCTTGCCCAGGTACACACATACATACACACATGCATAGACCTTGCGACTCAGTTCATTGAATCACGTACACCCAGACACGCACACTCATACACACGTAGCAACATGCACACCTACAACACCTGCAAAACACACACACACGTACACACACACACACTTCCTCACCAGCGGCGCCCCGCACCAGGCTTCCCGCATCCACAGTCGAGAGCCGTTGTCGTGTCGCTTGAAGTGCACAACGACGGGGGCCATGCCCTCCGCACGAGGACCCCGACCCGCATCAGAGTAGTAGTACACCACCAGACCCGCATCTGTTCGGTGTTGTACGGCGGGTGGTTGTTGCGGAGCATTGACACGAATTTGGGAATTGGGTGCATGGAATGGATGGGGGTTATGAGTCATAGAAATCGACGAGGTTAGCAAGGTTGATGACGAGGTTGAGGAAGTTGAGGAGCAACCGACACCGCTCCTCGTCCGCCTCCACACAGCGTCACACCTCCACACAGCACGCCGGAACACCGTGTCTGCACACACCAGCTGCCGCAGCCAGTCCTTCTCACCCTCCCCCCGTTACACCCCAGCCAGGCGCCTTACGTCATATGCCACGTAATGCCTTGCTATTACATGAAAGCATACATGGACCACAAGTACATGCGCTCTGAACACATCACATCACACCAGATGGGCGCTCCCCAACGCCGCACCCCGCGCGACATCACAACACATCACTTCACCAGCTGCTCACAGAGCTTTCTCCCCCCCCATCTACCACCCTAGCAAACAGCACCTCCCGGCCTGGGCCCCTCCAAGCCCCCAAGCCCCGCCCATCAGCAACACGCGCTGCTCACCCGCGGAGTTCGTCGTGCTGCGCAGGCTGTACGTGGAGACGCCACCCGCCCCCCCCGCATCCACTGCATCCGCCACTCGCACCCGGCAGTCGGTCAGCAACACCAGCTCGTCGTAGGTGGCGGTGGCGGAGGTGCCGCGGAGTGTCCGGGCGGCCAGCAAGTGCGAGTCAGGGGAGGTCACGACCTCGGCTTCGGTGGGAGAGGGAGGGGGACGAGGGCGGACGAGCGCGGACGAGGAGGGACGAGGAGGGAGCGGAGCTTAGAAAGAAATTCCCCAAAGAAGAAGTTGGACATCGGTGGACCTTGTTCGGGCTCCCCGGGATCGAACACCTCCAGTGGTGTGCCACTGACCCACCAACTTCACCTTACACCACCACCCCTCCACACACACACACAAGCACATACACGCAGCTTGCGGCTGTGTGATTCGTCCTCAGCATTTGTTTCTTTGCTTCTTTTGCACCACATGATTCATCCCACCTCAAAGACGTCACCTGGGAGCTTTAGGGGGGATGACGATGACTTTGGGGGTCCCCAAACCCTAATCCTCAAATTCCCATCCACCACTGCCCACCACCATAACCCACTCTACCGGTTTCTCACCACACCAGTCTCCCCTCCTTCCCCCTCCGGCACCCCACCCGGCTGCCCTCCCCTCCCGCCTACCACCACCGGGCCCCTCCCTTACCCGGCAGTCCCGCAGTGCTAGCGGTAGCCCTCAGCAAGTCCCCCAACGTGGCACCACTGGCCAGCTCCAGAGCCATCCGGGAGGGCAGCTCCGAGCCGTCCGTGTGAACTAGAACCACCTCCACCACACGGCGCCGGCTCTCAGGCAGCGGCAGAGACAAGTACATGCTGTCGGTCGGATGGTGGGGGTCATGGCGGGGGTCATGGGGAGACGGAAAAGGGGGTGGGTGCTCCCATCAAAAAAGAAATATCCATTTTATAAAAAAGGAGATGCGGACCCGGCCGGGGGTTGAGGAAAGGGGCGGGTGAAGGGCAGCGAGGTGGGGTGAGGGAATCTCGACACAGGAGGATACAGCCGGGGGATGAGGAAGGAGGAGAGGGAAAGGGAGGGAGCGTAGCGCCTGACATTTGAACATCATTAAAGGATCTTGAAAGGGGCCGGAAAAAAAGAAGTTGACGGCGGCTCGGTGGTTACCCAGCCATACAAACAAGACCAAGCGAACCAATCCCACTATACGCGACAATCATGTGCGGGTAAGTGCTGCCAAGAGAGTAACAAACGGCGCTGAACCGATGCCGTGCGTGGCGATGCTTCCCTCCAGGCGCCAGTAGCCCCTAAACACGCGAGGAGAGGAGGGAGACCAAATCTCCAGCAGTCTTCAAATGAGGATGAGAAGGGGTGAGCCACGATGGAACCTCCAGACTTACAAGGGGTCGAATTTAACGGAGTTGAAGCCGCATTGAGGGCAGTCCACAGTGCTCTTGAACAGACCCTGCAATGCAACAAATAGGGGGCGAAAAAGAATAAAGAAGCTGTATGATTTAAAGGGGGGATTTGCCCAAGGCCAGATGGGAGCAAGGAGATGGACTTATACACAAAATGCATTAGTAAAAAGTAAGCACTGCCGCCGACGTGCAAGCTGGGTGCAGGGTCCAAGTATTTTTGCGGTGTTGGTGCTGAAAAAGAGGTACGTCGAGGCAGGGGGGCCCGGGCGGCTTCCTGGGGCACGAAGAGATACTTCAAGAGTACGGACGAGGAAAATGCAGCCCGCTACCCTTTGCTGGTTCGAGTCCGTCCTTCCCAGGCCATGACAGCATCCTGTCCTTCCCAACCCCACTCCAGCCCACGACAGCAAACTGTTCCCTCATCCTAATCAGTGGACCCAAACCAAAAGATACGCGCGCCAAACACACCGAGTAAATACAGATAACAGGCTAACCTCCCCTGTCCGCACACAGTCCCCTCCCCTTGACCACCATAAACTCCCCTGCTCCCCCTCGCGACTCGTCTCCATTACCTTTGCAGACACCGCCTCATCCCCCCTGACCTGACTTTTGCACCTTCCTCCTCACCTGGAAATGGTCCACAACCAGGGAGTCGTTCCTAGCCCGGTAGTTGGACCAGGCCTCCGCAGCCACCGCCTCGTCGGGGCGCCCGTGCAGGTCCTTCTCCTGCAGAACCCCGGCATGGTGGCAGTGGTGGTGGTTTCGGAGCGGAGGAACCGCCAACAACCGGACACGACCGGAAATGGCGGCGGGGGCCGGAAGGAAGCAGTGCACAAGAGGAGGAAGCGAAAGACACCGAACCCCCACAGCCTTCAAGACATCCTTCCGTATCGCCCGGAGGACCCACGCCACACCACACGCCAAGCCACGGACCGATCAAACGAACGGACGAATGAACCAGCAAACAGTGTGAGAAGCGAAACGGCTCTAGGCCGAGAACCAAGACGTACTGCCCTGCACTGCCCTGCAGGTACAGCAAACACTCTGCAGCCGTCTCACGGGCGACTTCCACCACCGCCACCAGGCCGTAGGGAAGTCAAACGACTCCAACCCCCAACTGACGGACCAGAGTCCGCCCGCTGGCCGCGCCGTATCCTGCGTTTCACCAGGCCTCCCTCCCTCGCTCTCTCCATTTCCCTTCCTCTTCCTCTCCTTTACCCTACCCCCTCTCTTCTAACGTACACACACACGACACCGTGTCCACTCCGCGGCCCTCCTGAACCTCCGACTCAGCATCAGCAATAGGTTGGGTCCGTCGCCCACCCTTCCCATATGCAATCTTTTGGTAAGTAATCTATTACTAATTTTGTCCAGAAATCCCTGATCCCTGCAAGCTGCGGCTCAATTGACTACTTAAAAACACAATCGTCAAGGAGACAACCCCACCGTCAGCTCACCTCAATGTACGGCTTGTTCTTGATGCGGTTGGTGTCCTCGTGCAGTCCGTCTAGCAGGAAGGCCAGAAACTCTTGAGAGTCGTGTTGTGCGTAGCCAGAGAACTGCGGCGCGAAGCGGCCAATCTTGGCCTTGAAGGAGCGAGGCGTCACCGCGGACAGCCCTCCCTGCATCACATCAGCATGACCAGCATCAAGAGCAGCAGCATTGTCAGCAGCAATCACCGGGAGCAGAAGGAACAACCAACAGGAAATGGTGGGGAGAAGCACCAGGCCGCACCGTGCATAGCCTAGGGAGTAGCAGCAACTGCTGCCCGGCGACAAGCAATGAACGCGATGAGATCGGCTAGACACAAACCAACCCACAAACCCACATTCATGCCGCATGCCGCTTCCAAATGCATCACACAATGCATCATCACTGCTAGAGACGTCATGCCTACACGCCCAAGGCGTGTAGGCTAAATATGCACGCGGGGTTCTCTTCACCAGCTCACTACCTCACTCACCCTCCACAGCTGCTCCATAAGGCCCCCAAATGCCTCCGCCAGCTCTCCCTTCATGCCCAGAGGGTTGCTGCGGTTCAGGTCCTGCGGCGAGTGGGGCCACGATAAAGGGGAAGAGGGTTGAAGTCCGTGAGGAGTCCAGCAAGTAAGAAGCTGTGGCCGGAGGGACAAAAGAACATACGGGAGCCTTGAGGAAAAGACACGGCGGTCAAATACCGGATGAGTGGAACCTTCCATACGCCGCATCGAAGGCCGCAACTGGGACATGGAGTTTTTGATCCACATGGCAAACAAATTGCACCGTACGCCTCACCGTATCGCACCGTACAACCGTACATCACCACGTACCTGCAGGTACCCTCCCCCCAGAAAAGCCCGCATGAGTGGCACCGCGTGTGCTAGGCACTGCAGACTGGAGCTCATAAAGCACGTGTTGCCCAGGTTGGTGAGACCGGCAAGACCGGGCGGCTGCCCGTCACGCTGCAGATGAAAGGTGGGTGGGGAGAGCGGGAATGGGCGGGTTCATGGGAGGGTGGGAGTGGGAGGGGTAATGGGAAGGGGTAATGGGAGGGGTAATGGGAGGGAAAGACGAACCACCAAGGAAAGAGAAGCAGAACTGACCAGTAGGCGGTTTTGAAGGAGCCGACCTCGGGATCAATGGGAGGGGAAGAAATGGACGTGTGTTAACAATTCCGCGGGAGGGGAGGTAGAACGGGAGGGAACCAATGGAAAGCGGGCGAGCGGCACAAGTCATGACCTGAATACACCCGATCGCGAAGTGCCCGGAAAACGAGCAAGACAGGGGCCTGAGAGACAGGGGCCTGAGGAGATGGGGCCGGAAGGGGAGGCGATGTGCAACCCCGGGTAATCATGCAATGTGGACAGCCTGCACAGGTCTCCGGGACTTCTGTTTCATCCCCTGATTGCCACCACACTCACTGTGATGACGTTATCCTCCAACGCGCCCCATGTCGACCGCTGTATAGCCGGACGAGTGCTTCCTAACCCCAGGACCCCACCGCCGCCGCCGCTGGTCCGGGCAGTAATGGCCGGCTGCGCCGGCACAGCCGGCCCAGAGACGCCGTCGCTGCGGCTGCTGCCGGCGGCGCTGGCGCGCCGCAACGCAGCAGCTCCCGCGGCTTCCGTCGGCGCCACCCGCGTCGCCGCCGCAGTCGCCATCGGCTTCTTGTCCTTCACCGTCTTTCGCCCCGCCGCTGGCCCTGTATCGTTGTCGTTGTCACTGCCGCACGCGTCGTCCTCGCCGTCCTCCTCGTCGCCCTCCAAGAGGGCTCTTCCCGCCATGACATCCTAAACGGTATTTGTAAAGAAATGACAACAGTCTCAGCTCGTTATGTTATTACGACAGCCCCTCCTCTTTCACACCGCGAGGACCTCGGCTATGCGAAGGCTCCGCAATACAAGAAAGACCAAAGGGCTCCTTCGTGTCAATATTGTTTGTTAGGCCCATACAACACCAAACACCGAGAAACAATTAAGGAGCTGTAAAAAACAACGGGTAAATAGGTACCATTGGCATAGTAGTTTTAGCAGCGAAGCACAACTTTTCACTCCACATTCAGGGTTGGTTTTCAGATCGGATGCAAATGCCAGGGAACTGAAGCTCAGAGGGTAAGTGCTCATCACCGATCCTACACGAGGAGGAGGAGTGTGGGAGAAGTATCCTGCCGGTGGCTGCGCCTCCCATGTTGTCTCTACTGGAAGTAAGTGTGATCCGGTCCTAGTCTCTTCACACCGGGATGGGAGGGGTTAGCCATGCACGGAACCGGCGGCGGGGGGGGGTCTCGTGAACACACTTCCAGATGACGGTCAAGGACTGAGACAGAATTCAACCGGATCCAACTAACTTAACCGAACCCAGACAAACAAAAAACTGATAGTTTTCTAAGCGAAGCATCTAGAAAACTAAGGTTTTCTGTGAATTCGGAGTGCCACTGTACGATGTACGGACTGGAGTGGTTATGTGTCGCTGCGAGTGACTATGCTGGTTACTTAGGGTTTGCGTAGAGCTACGTTTGGGTGCTGCCCTGAAGCGTAGGTTGGTCTGCAGGCCTGGTTGTCGCTTCGGGTAGTGCGCCCACACCCGGCCCTACCCTATCACGAATACTGTTTCTATTGCTTGCAGGTACTCTCTTTGTAACGAAGACTTCTCACGAAGACCCAAATCAACTGACGCCCTCCAATCGCAACCCGAATGCAACCCACATCACTCGATTTCTAACCTACCTATCATAACCCAAGTACCTCCAAGTTCAATCTAAGTTCACCAAACCCCTCTCGAGTTTGTGTTTAGGGCTAGGAGTTTGATAATATGGTGTGAGTTAGTCGATTGGATCAAGTTTGGTAGTGCTGCTTTCGTTTCCGTGTGTTGTCTTGTCCTCTGGGTTTTAAGCCCTCCAAACTTTGATTTAGGTGAGCTAACGCGAACTGTGTTGGATGTCATTAATCACGCTATCAAGACTCATGCGCTTCTTCCTCTAGCAGCCTAGCACCTTTCCCCCCCTCAAAAACACGGCAACCGCGTCGCCCTAAGCATTTCCCCCCATCCCCCTCTGCCCCGATCGATAACCGCCAGCTGCCGCTCCTTGTCCAGATCTTGCCACAGTCCAGTATTCCTATCCTCCAACCCCTTCATGCGCAACCCCTGGAAGGCCAATTCTCACCGTCCTCCGTAGCACTAGCAGCTGACCGTCCAGTAGTGGGACCTCCCGGAGGGACGGCCCCTGCACAGCAGCAGCCTTCCCAGCCGTTGCTGCTGCTGCCGCTGCTGCACCGCCCCCGCCCCCGCCGAGCTCAACATCCACATCCATGTTGCCCCTGCCGTCACCGCCACCGCCACCGTCGCCTGTCCTACCCGCGGCGTCTCCAGCTGCTGCAGCTGCAGGCGCCTCCGGTGCCCCGTCCTCCACTGCCATCGGTGAAGTGGTTCCGGCAATGGTGGCGCCGGCATCAGTGGAGAGCGGCGCCGGGGGCTCCAAAGGCCGCACTGCCCTGCGACCTGTGAAATCCCACAGGATCACCTCCGAGTCGGCGACGCCAATCGCGGCACAGGCGCGGGTCTTGAGCGCCGCAAGGGGGGCCTGCGTAGGAGAACGAGCACCAAGAGAAAAGGCGCTTTGCTGAATGGCAGGTTAAGCGATTCGCACAGAGTCAGACAGGCCGGCGGGCAGACAAGCAGGAATTGTGCCAGCGTGAAGCCGAACGCTTCTTTCCAAAACTAACTGGGGCCGCATGCGAAGATGCATGCAGACACTCCGTAAACCACATCTTCGCCACTGCTGCTGTTGTTGCTGCTACTGCTGAAGTCTTGGGCGGTCTTTTTCCTCGCATCCTATATATAGCCCTCAAGAGGTCGGCTACTGCAATGGTTTCGGATTTGGGTGCCTGTCCGGCGGCTCTGGGGCTCAACCACAACAACAGCCTCGAGATGCTGATTGGTAAGCCAGTTATTGGACAGAAAGGCGGGCTAAGAGGCCGGCTGGTGTAGAGGCCGGCTGGCCGCGCCCCCTGATCGCCGCCATCTAAGCTGTCCACCCACCTCAGGATCCATGGCTACCACGGCAGACCGCTCCTTTCCATCCTTGGGGCGATAGACCACCTCCAGCCGAAGCGGATACAGCGCCAGGCGGAACCAGCGCTCCCCAGCGCCCCTCCGCCCGGTCGGCCCAGGCGCAGCCTCGGCCACGACGCGCCGCGCAATGGCAGGGCCGGCACCGCCATACCAGCTGTACAGACGCTGCCAGGTGGCAGCGGACACGACCACGAAGTCACGCTGTTCCACGAGCCCCGGCCGGAGGGGAACTGTCTCCGCATCGGAGCCCAGCTGCGACGACTGTGGCTGCGGCGCTGCAGTACCGGGAAGCTGAGGCTTGGCGGCAGAGTAGCCAGGTGGCAGGAGTTCGGAGTTGGAAATGGGGCTGGGGCGTGGTCCGCTGCCGCCTGGAAGCGGAAGCAGCGAGGGGATGGCCGCAGCGCCGGGGCCATTGTAGCTGCTATACTGCACCCAGGTGTTCCACCACCTGCGTGGAGGTGGGTGTGAGATGGCGAGGTGGTGTCGCGGTGGTGGCAGGCAAGGGAGGTGGGAGTGGGGCCCAAGGAACCTGCAGTTGGACCTACTGCCGCGAAAACCACCGGGAGGAGTTACAACAATTTAAACGACGAGTAGCTCCGCGCAATAGGATGGGATGGAAATGAACATTGCTCGATTGCCGGTAACAGGTGAGGTTTCACTTAGTTGCCCGGGGCAACACGCCAGACACAAACATCCTTCTCGCCGATCAGCTGCCACCCCACAGCGCAGTGCCTGTGCACCATAACTGAAGTCCAGCTTTGTATAGCAGCTAATTACGGTTTCACCAACGCCCGAAAACTCACGTTGTTGAGACAAGATAGCCGATGGAGCCGACGGTCCAGGTGGCATTCTTCTCCAAAGCACCTACTTCTAATGCTTCGCTATGGCCATCAGCAGTCATTTCTGCTGTTCAATTGTTTACAAAAATTACGTTGCGCCGATCACCCGCCAAATGCATAATTGTTTCCTGCTCCTGTTTTTGCGACTTGATTGTACGCCGACGCAACTGGCCAAGCTTACACAAGATGGTCTCAGGACCTAAAACGATTAACAGACAACTACCATGCCGTACTCTGGGTAAGTAGATAGGGGCCGCTGCACAAGCTTGAATGCCATAAACAGGATTTGTCCAAAGAATAGCCCTTCTTTTTCATCTGTGCGCAACCGTCCACAGACTAGGCCATAAGGCCGTTAGTGGACGTTGCCGGAAGTTCATGAGTCCGAATGTTACCATACACCATGCCAACCTCCAAATGGTCTCAGCCTCTCTCGAGCAATGCTCAATGGCTGCCTTACGCTGCAAATTTTAAAAACATATTGCAGGCCCCGCAAAGCAAAATCATTCGCGCTCGCACCGCCAACATAATCCGTACAGCCATCAGGCCGCCCATGTGCCCACGAAGAAATATGCTGCACTCCTTGGTTACCTTGAATGCACCATCCCCGGTACTACACCATACGGTCATCAGTTTTGCACATGAATCCTAGCATAAATAGCCGCGAAGCTCGCACCTGAATGCTGCGCACCTTCAAGGCCGCGCGCGGATATCCTCATGCACTGAACGTGTCCAGGAACCTTGCCCGGCAGCAAAATCCTATTCCCTCCCTTCCCCTCCCACACACATATCAGCACTTCCCCAATTCCTGCCTTCTCCATAAGGCCTCCAGCACGAAATTTGCCTTCTAATCCCAACCAGGAATGCACCACAACAAAACTATTTCCCCTCCCCACACACAATCTCATCATCCGACAGGTCTTCAACACGGTCAAACTACCAAACGCGGGCTGTACAGCAACCAAACGTTCCTTTCCCCAGTCACTTGTGCACTCTCCAAACGGAACCCCTCCTGCCGGCCCCCTCAGTGATCTCCAGAGACGCTGCTTCTGTCGCCACCGCCACCCGCCTTCGCTGAACCCGTCTCGAAAATGCCGTACATGCCGTACTTACACCCATCCCCATCGCCAATCAAGTCCTGTTCCAGTCCCCGGCATGCCTCCAGGCCGTCTTTACCCCTTAAGACGTGGACACGGCGGGGGCCGGCACTGGAAACTGAGAGACGCCTGACTCTGTGAAAACGAGGAGAGGCCCCTGCCTGTCTCATGCCATTGTTGGCTTTTGGACGACACACAGCAGGAGGACTCCTCCACGCCATTCACACTTACACACTTACACACTTACTCACTTACGGAGAGACCAGCTGTATGCCTGTCTTGCGTTGAGTAGTCGGTTGCGTTCAGTCATATCTTCACGGGTAGGACGCGAGTGACTTTTCCCGCGCACATATAGACATACAGGTATACAACCTGGCCGGCCTGACAGTTGACGCCTCCTCTAAAACGGTCACGTCCCTTGCCGCTGTGCTCTGGATTTTGGTAAGCTGCACCACCACCATTTTCACCAATACCAACACCACGACGCGTCCGGTTCACGGTTTTTCTAAAAAAACACCCACTTTCCCGTTCTCAAGTCATACACATTATGCCAGAACCAACCACATGTACATTTCGATGTGCGGTGGTGTACATCTCCCTCGCTGGTGCCCCCTCACCGGCCCCATGTAGGCCGCCCTTTCCCGCTCCTCTCCGCCACACTTGGCGCACTTAGGGCTCTTCACCGTTCGACACTCAGCTGGCCTCTGGCGAACAGGACAGGTCCGCATGCTGTTGGTGGTGCTGCTGAGCGTTGACCCACTTCCCTTCACCCCTCCCCCTTGGACGCTAGACGCCGGCGGTTCATTCCTGATTTCCTCGCAGATGATTGTACCCCTACTGCCGTCGGTCTTCCCCCTCTCCACATCCACTCAGAAAGACAATCGAGGCATCAACACCGGGACACACAGCCGCATCTTGTCACACACAACAACAACCAAAAGCTCGCAGCAGGCGGAGCAGCAGCAGCAGCAGCAGCAGCAGGATCAGCCACGACAGCCACCATCAGCCCGGGCTGTGGCATATTCGGCCATGACCTCACGGTCACAAGTACGCCTTACAAGTACAGCAACCACCTCCACCTCATCGCACTTCCTCCTGGCCAAGTCAGCACCACCCTACAAGTACAGCGACGCCGCGAAGATGATGTCTCGCTTGATTCGCTCCCTGGTCTGTTCGAACCTCTCAGACAGGGCGAGCTCTCCGATGCCCTTGAGGGCCTCAGCCAGCTGCCGCAACAGCTCCTCCAGGCGCCGAATGGCCCGAACCAGGGAGCCCTGTACACGGGCATAGTGGTGGGGTTGGCGGTCTGGAGAGGAGCTGAAACGAGATCAATGGTGCTGGTGGTGCTGGTGGTGCCGGTAGCCACCCGGTGACAAAAGCAGCAGAGGAGGGGCAGCGGGAAGAGGAGGAAAACAACACGGCTGATGCAGATCGAGGAGGCTGAAGACGGGGAGCTAGTGGTATCGAAGGAATTGAGCGAGGAGGGGAGGAAGAGGATGTTAGGGGAGGAAGGGAAACAGCAGCAGCAGCAGCAGCAGCAGCTGCAGCGGCCGCAGGATGATGCAAAACCATGGGCCCCAACCCCCCCCGGCCCCACCTCGAAAACGGTGGTCATCTTGACAAGCTCCGCAAACTTGACACCACGCACCCAGGCCGCCACGGGCTCCATCAGGTCGGGTCGGAACTTGGCGACGTAATCGTCCAGACTGGTGGTGGAGGCGGACCCGCCATGAGGGCCGCTGTGCGAAGAAGAAGAGGAAAAGGAGGACGGACAGGAACTTTGAAAACGCAGTCAAGGGGAAGAGGAGGAGGGTTGGAAAGGGATGAACGCGACCAACAACGGTCAACAGAACTACGTAAAACAATTGCATGGTAAGTTACGCACGGGTTAGCACCAGTCGTGATTCAGTTACTGAAACCGGAATGATAGCTGTAACGGATTGTGTGAGACTGTCAACGTTGGTCTTTGCTCGGGGCGCCGCGCTCCTTCAGGAGCTTCCCACAACCCCTCTCTCTCTCTCTTGGCCCTCCTCCTCCTTCTCGCCCCCTCCTCCGCCTCCTCTTTCTATTCTTCCCTTCCCCGCTCTCCCGCACCAGTCTGCCTCACCAGTCGAGAGCCATCTTGCAGTCCAGCTCCACCTTGGCAACACGACGAGCCGCGTCCTTGACCGCCGCCAGCGCACCCACCAACTCATCCCGGAGCTGTGCAAGACGGGGGAAGGGGAGGAGGTGCGTGCGCGCGCTCGTGTGTGTACGTATGTACGTATGTGTGTGTGCACGTGTGTGTCATCCAGCTGAACCGGTAGCAAGACAAGAGGGTCAGTCTTCCGGTGGAGCCACGGGGTTAGCAGCTTTCGGCTGGAAAGCATCCCGAGCAGTCAGACATGATCCGATCCACAACACGCAATCACGCACACACATACATACACGAGCATTCCCATCGCTATTTCCTGCTTTTCTCGAGGTTCAGTCGTGTCAAAGAGCTTATTAACGCGCCACATGGCAACCCACGGCTCCAACTGGCTCTTCCTTGCGCCTCTCTCATTCACACTCGCGCAGACGTAGGGAGAGATACAGCTCACCTTTGGCCCGCCGCCCTCCCCTCCCTTCTCCTGGAACACGAAGCACGAACACGCGGCGGCCAGCGCCTCCAAGCTCATGGCGTTGAAGGCGCCCGCGAACACGAGCTCACACAGCACCAGCTCATCTCCGCAGCTGAGCCCCGCGGCCAGACGGCCCTTCACGGTCACCACGCCGTCCTCGTCCACGTAGGTCAGACGACGCAGCACCCGTTGCCGCGCCTGGAGACGACGAGAGGGGGTGGGCCTCGCGATGACCTCGAGCGAGGTGGGGCCTGCCCTGCCCCCTTTCCCCTCCCCTTTCCCCTCCCCCCTTTCCCCTCCCCCCTTTCCCCTCCCCCCTTTCCCCTCCCCTCTTTCCCCTCCCCTCTTTCCCCTCCCCCGTTTCCCCTCCCCTTTTTCCTCTCCCCTTTCCTTCCCCTTTCCTCTCCCCCCGTTCCTCCCCTCCCCTTTCCCCTCGCCCTCCCCGCACCACAGGACATCACGCACCTTGAGTTCGTCTTTTAGGATCAGACTGGTGGCGGCCTTGGCCTCCCTCCGTGCCGCTGCCACCGCCTCTTCCGCGGCGCTCCGCCGCTGCAGCGCCCCCAGCCGGGATCTCAGCTCGGGTGCTGGAAGGGAGGTGGCCAGGGGGTGGGCCGCCAACAGCCCCTCCACACTCTCAATCTTGGACTGGGTCTTGCGAACGGCCTTGTCGGTAACCTGGAGAACCAAGGGTGTTTGTCTGTCTGTCTGTCTGTCTGTCTGTCTGTCTCTGTCTTTGCTTAAGCAAAGTTTTCTCCCAATTCCATCCTCCTACTTTTCATCACTCATCACTGCTCGGCCTCTCATCCCTGTCCTCGAGTCATCGCAGGTCACCCTCACCTTCATATCGTCCTCCGGGTCCAGCAACGGTACCCTGCCCCCGCTCTTGCGCTGTCCAGCCAGCCGCACCAGCGCCTCCGCCAGGGCGGCACACGCGGCCTTCCGGGCGTCCAGCGGTCTGAGGTCACGTTGCAGGTAGATACGCACACTGCTGAGCCGGTCCACCTGGTGGAGCAACGGCGGCGTTCCCAGTAGGGGTTGGGGGCCGTGTTAGGATGGACCAAATGCCGATGTTCAGAGGAGGAGGTTGGGGGACATCCATGCATCCATCCATGCATAGATACATACGTACATACACAATCGCCCAAATCACCCATAAAAGCGCTGCCACGCCTCCCACCTGCGCGAGGGAAAATGTGACCACCAGCGGCACCCCCGTCTTGTCTCCGGGGGGCAGTAGCTTCACAGGGTGACCTCGGGGCAGAGTGCCGCTACTGCCACCTGCCGTACCGCCCCCCGGGGTCGGTGCCGTGTTCACCAACACGTCCACAATGAAGTGGCCCGCACCCCCCGAGGACGAGGAGGAGCTCTTCTTGGAGGATTTCTTGGACCCACCACCACCATCACCACCACCGTCTGCGTGGGTGGGTGGGTAGGTAGGTAGTTGTAACGGGTAGGTAGGTGGTAACACTTTTAATTTGATTGCATGACATGCGAGCATGTAGACATGAAGTAGACAACAACAAGAACAGCAATAACAGATAAGAAGGGAAACCAGAGGACGGACGGCGCACCTGCAGCCGCCGCCGCGTCCTTCTTGCCGCCCACCCGCTCGAAATTGACCACAGCGCCCCATACACCGTACGCCACCTCCGCCACCACAGCCTCCCCACCGCCCGCGCCGCCGCTAATAGACGCGTCTCCGCTGCCGTCGGCGGACGGTACGGCACCCGCCCCGGGCGGCTCGTTGAAATCCGGCAGCGGTCTAGCTGTCTCAGGTGGTTCCGGGAGTAGCCTAACCAGGCGACCTGCGGAACATGTGTGAACATGCCATTTCGTTTTGTTGTAGCCGTCGTACAGTACGTCGTACATACAAGTCGTCAATAGATTATGCGCTAAAAAAAGCGCTCTGCTTGCATCTTAAGAGAGATCTTGCCAGCGCCCAGCTACTACGGCCCGCGCACTTCTGACATCATCGACCAGTCAGTCCTCGCTCTCCTAATACACTACCCCCAGCACTTCCCCCTCTGCACCCATAAGGCCCTCATAAGCTCCCCCCCTTAAACCCCCCTTGGCCCTCATAAGGCCCCCCCAACCCAGCCGCATCTGCGGCACCTCACCTGGCTGCAGGAAGGGCAGGCACACCTGCGGCGAGTTGAGGAACCCCCGTAAGCTGGCTCGCAATGATGCCAGCTGGTCCAATAACGCATAGTACTGCCGTACAGACTGCTCGTCCGGTACGACAATGGCATCCCGCTGTGCCTCCAGTGTCGATACACGGGCCTCCAGGGATGGCAAACTCCGCTCCACTTGAAACTGCCTAAAGGGGAATGGAGCGGAGCGGGGGGGGGGGGGTTATTGCGTTACACTATCCGCCTGTCTGTCTGTCTGTCTGTCTGTCTATCTGTACGAAGGTAGGGGGGAGAGAATCATGCGATACTTGGTGAGCAAAATTTGAACTGTTGCTTAAATCCTTGCCGAGGACGCGGGGAATACAAAGCCTGAGATACTCCACCCTCAGGCCCAAGGACCCCGCAAGGCCAGCCGCCCTCTTTCCCCCACCCCCAACCAACCATACACGAGACCCCCGGAGCCCCACGCACCTGAACGATGCCCCCATGAGCTGCTCCGGTTCCGCCCCCTCCACCCGCATAAGGCCCAGCAGCATGTTGTATCCCAGATGGAAGGCCGAGTAGAGGGTGTCCGGAGCGCCCTTGATCATCTCCTTGGCCACGGGGGGCTCCAGTCGGGTGTCCAACATCAGGATCACAACACCTGACAACGTGCGTGCGTGTGTGTGCGTGTGTGTGTGTGCGTGTGTGTGCGTGTGTGTGTGTGCGTGTGTGTGGGGGGGGGGAGAGGGGGAAATCATGGGGTGGGAAAGGGGGAGGGCGTCACAGGACGATGCAAAATGCAGGAAATCATGCAACAAAACGCCAACGATGACAAAATGAACCAACTGCCATCTGCAAAGAGGGTTTAGATCGCACAGTAACATCCCGCTGCCAATCCAATCCAATCCAATCCAATCCAATCCAATCCAATCCAATTCATGTCAAGTCAAGAATGGAAAACAGCAGCCTGCACCCAGTTGGAGATGGGTTGGAGATGGGATGGGGTGGGTTAGGGGGGGAAGGGAAATGAGAACAAGGAATGCTGCGGACCCCCGAGCCCCCTCCTCATTTTTCTCCCCCACACCCATCCCCATTTGTCCCCTCCTGGAGCATCCGTCTATCTCCGGCATCTACTTCAATCCTCAGCGGTTCGCCTCCGCGCCCCTACCCCCCTCCGCCCCCTCGCGCACCTCTATCATCCAGACCTCGTCGCCCCGCCCTGCCGCTCATCTGAATGTACTCCCCGCTGGTGATCCAGCGAAACACACCGCCGTCGTACTTCTTGACGTTGGTGAACACAACCGTCTTGGCGGGCATGTTGAGGCCGGTGGAGAAGGTCTCCGTAGCGAATAAACACTTCAGAAGACCCTCCTGAGGTTGGGCGGTAAATTGGGGGGTAAGTTGGGGGTTCGGTGTGTGTGTGTGTGTATGCGGAAGACGAATCACTGACGGTTGAAGCAGATATTAGAGGGGGGGTTTAGGCATGGGGGGGAAGGAGATAGGGTTAGGGTTTAGCGTATAGGGGATGTAGGAGGCGTAAAATACACGTCCTTTATAAGCAAGGCAAGAAGCCCAACTGACGTCCCAAGTACCTAAGTGCTGGCGGACTGCAACGGGATTTGTGCGTGCGTGTATGTGTGTATGTATGGAAAAAACGGGGTGAAAGGGGGGGGGGGCCCGCCAACCATTTGCTTGTGTGGGGCCAATGGTTTGGGGAGGAGAGGAGAGGAGGGAGGAGGAAGGGGGGGAGCCAAGTTGAAGGATGTCTCCCAACGCACGAGCCCTTCCCCCTTCCCGCCCCTTCACACAAGCCGCCCCAGCCCCCACATCCAAACCCACCCACCCACCCACCTACCTGGAACAGGATCTCCACCACCTCCTTCACGATGGGCAGTAGCCCCGAGTGGTGCACCCCCACCCCCCGCTGTAGCATGGGCAACATGGCGGTGATCTGAGGGAGGCGCTGGTCGTCCTGCGTGCGTGTGGGTGTGGTTGGGTGGGTGGGTGGTGTGTGTGTTGTTCTTGGGTGGGGTGGGGTGGATGGTGGAGAGTGTGCGATGGAGCAGCAGGACAGAGGCGTTGTCGAGCGGTCAGGTGGTTTTATTGAGGGGTGCTTCCCTCGTGGTTGGTTGGGCAAGAAGCGGCCAACGGGCATGTGAGAGCCGCCTGGATTTCCCCCCTGGGTTACACCTCTGGTAGGCTGGCGTTGCACCTGTCGTACAGATACAACAACAGCTCTCCATCCCCTTTGAACCGGAACCCCTATCGCCGCTCCCCCCCCTTTCCCCCCATCCCCCCTCACACGCCTGTGACAGGCACTCCATTGCCGACCAGTAGATGTTGGCCACCAGCGCCTTCTCATCCTCGCTGTTGAGCTCCAGGGGGGCCATCTGGGCGGCAAGAGCCTCACATTCGCGCTAAGGCACGGGGGAAGGGGTACGGAAAGAGTTGGATGCTAAAGAATGGGTAGTGAATGAGTGAGTGAGGAGAACTAAAACCCAAGCTAAAACCCGGAAGCAACGCCTGTGAAACCTCGAACAAATCCGCAAATGAAACATCACAGCACATCGGGATGGGAAGCACATCGCAGCGGTTGGGTTCAGACGGGAAAGTGCCGTACTTTGGAGAAGGAGAACACGATGACCGGGTCGTAGTTCCGCTCCATGATCATTCGGACCAACTTGAAGATATCAGATTTCTGAGAGTCGGCACCGCCCACAGGCGCGGAGCCGCCACCGCCGCCGTTCTTGCCGCCCTTGGCTACGGCGAATGGAGGGGGAAGAGATGGAGGGGGAAGAGGTCGAGGACGAAGGAATCATACGCAAAATGCAAAGTATAATGTATGATGTGTGGGACAGGGGGGCATATCTTCACCCGTGGCCGCTACCCGGCGAAACCCTGCCTTCCCCGGTATTTCGGGGCACCCTCATCTAGTCACCCTAGTCAACTTCTCAGTGGATCGCTCAGGTTCCGCACCCACCACCAGCATCCAACGGAATCTGCCGGGTCGACGGCGGCCCAACTCCATTCCTGGTCAGCTCGCAAGTTAACTTTATCCCAGGTCACCACCGTCCATCGACTAGGGGCACTTTACCTTCCACCCTCGGAAGGATTTTCGACCCGTGTATGTATGCATGTATGTATGTGTGGTATTACGTTTTCTGACCGTCACCTTCGTTACGTTATCCTTCAAGATGTACACATGCATACATACATACACGCGTGTGGGTCTATACGAACCCCTACTGCGGAAGGCCAGGTGGGCACGTACCAACATCAGGAAGATGGTAATAACTAGATATTTAATAAAGTTTATGTATCATACATAAACTTTATAGCGCCAAAATACTAGGTAGCCGATAGGTTAACAAACAGACAAATTGGGCAATGACCGCGGGAGGACAGACAGACCCCACTTACCCTTTCCGCCGCCGGCGTCCGTTTCGGTTAGTACACCAACCGCTTTCTGGAAGTTGTCCTCCCGAAATACGCCCCGCTCGTCCACCACCATGTACAACCCATCACCACCTTCGGAAGGAACACGGGATCAGGGGAACAAGAGATTCGGGTCGCTGGTAGGTGGGGCGGTAGTTGCCGATTCGGTTAACGGTTGGGTAGCCAAGCGGTCGGTAGTCCGGCTGCGGTTTTCAGACACATTTCCGGTACGTTTCTGGAAGCCTGTTCCAGAAATCTTGGCACCCGGTTGACGGTTTCAGTGCGGTTGGCAGTTGGGTTGTTGGGCAGTTGTTTGGGCGCCAAAGCATTCACTCACTCATTCACCCACTCCGACAGGCCCCTCTCTCTTCTTTTGCATACATTCTGTCCTCCGCGCCGTACCCCGTCATACTCCGCCGTACTCACCCGGGCCCCCGCTCACTCACCCGCCGGGAAGAGGTAGTGTTGCAGGGGTGTGGGTCTGTAGTCCGTGTACACCACATGGCAGGGCGAACGGTGCGTCTTGGCCACCCAGTCAGCAAACTCGCGCGCGTTGGGGATGGTGGCGGACAGAAATACGAAGCGAGCCTGCCTGAGGAAAGGAACAGAAAAGATGGCCGAAGCGACAACGGCCGGAAAAGGTTTTGGCCGACGGCCGCGCCAGGCAGCAGCAGCATCAGAAATGGCAGTAGCAGCAGTACGCAGCTCGTCAAGCCAGCCAGGAGTTCCGTAGAGAGCACGGGGGACGTGCGTGTGTATGTGTGTGTGTGTTCCCGTGGAGAAGCCATATGCGAGAAAGAGTGGGAAGACGGCGGTGGTGTCCTAGAGGTCGGAAACTGCCCCTAGTGAGTGAGGGAGTCCTAAGCGGTGTCATGTGATGTCATCCACCCATTGGGACCAGCATTGGGGGCAGCATTGGGATGCGCGTGTGTGAGAGAGAGAGAGAGAGAGAGAGAGAGAGGAGAAATCCATTTTCGCAGGAAACACGACAGGGAACCAGAAAAACTTAGGGGGCCCTATCCCGGCCGGCCAGGAAACAGCAAGCAAAGGACGCGAAAGGCACGGACAGCGAGATGTCCAGAAAGCCTTATGGCAGGGAAAGGGGCCCCTACATGTTCATCTTCCTGGTCAAAACACGAATCCGTACATTTCCCGTACGCGCGCAGGTATGTGACCCTTACCTGGGGGCTAGGATGATGGACTCCTCCCACACCACGCCACGCTCCTTATCACGCAGGTAATGGATCTCGTCGTACACAACCAGTTGTACTTCACGTACGACCTCTGTAAGTGGGGCCCCGAACACATCCAGAGGGCCACATTTTCAGGCAAAAGGGCCGCAGGGCGACCCAGATGGCGGTAGTGAACCCGAGCCGCGAAGTTGATGACGGCGATGGTGATGACCGGAGTGGCGGTAGGGGTAGAGATGTCTTTGCAGAGGGTACTTTACACGGCGCAAAAACGTGTACTCTAAACGAAGAATGGTGCAAAAGGGCGGAGGACCATCACAGGGCCACCACGCCGAAACACATTCCCCCGATACCCTTCCCCCCTCACGTCACACGCACACACATACATACACACGTGCCATCGTGGGCTTCTTTTTTAGCCATATTCATATCAAAACCTATCCCAGCAGGTATTAACCGACCAACTAGTACTATCACATTCTCTTTGAAACCAATATCACCTTGTCTAATCTACCGGCAACAGCACATCATACCGACCCCCCGATACCCACAATCACTCCCCATGTGAGATGTTCGCCTACCTGACCCCCTGTACAACATGGACCTCAGAATTTCCGTGGTCATCACCAGGCAGGAGGCATTCGGATTGATGGTGACGTCTCCCGTCATCAGCCCCACATCCACAAACTCCTCCGCCAGCTCCCGGTACTTCTGGTTGGAGAGGGCCTTCAAGGGGGAGGTGTATACCACGCGGGTTTTGTCCCTGCAGGGCATGTTTGTGTGTTTGTATGTGTGTGTATTTTTATAATGTGCGTATGTGTGCGTATGTGTTATTAGAGGAGTGTTACTGAGCCGCGAGGAGTGTTAAGGTATGCGAGGAGGGTGTGTATGCGTATGTTTTCGTGATCGGATGTGTGAATGTGAATGTGCATGTGCGTGTGTGTGTATGCCCGTAGGACGTGTGTTATGCAGTGTTGGCAAAAGACAGAAGGGGAAGCCACGGGAGCGCGGTGCAGAGGAGGACATGTGAGGAGATGGGAAAGGAAAGGAAAAGAGCGGGAGATTACGTGCAAATTGGACATGGAAGGCAGGAAACCCTTCACTTTGCATCACTCAGCAGCCAGTCCGCCTGCCAGCCACGCCCTCCCAACCCCCGGGTGCATACCTCAGGGCCATAGCAAAGGCATACTCCGCTACCACCGTCTTTCCGGCCGAGGTGTGGGCCGCCACCATGACGCTGTGGCCTAAAGAGTAGACAAAAAGGTCGGGCGCAGGATCCGGGGATCGAACCCGGGTGGTCCAGGGAGTTACGTGTGCGAACATCATCAAGACGGGATTTGTGGTGGTCAACATCATCAGCATGAAACGGGAAAATGTAACCCCCGGAGGGACATGAATGAAAGCATGTAGGCGCGCACAGGCTTTGGACCGAACAACCTTAACGTTCGCGACACGTCATCATGTCGTACCGCGTCACGTCGCGCCATGTGGGTTCGGAGGGTCAATGGAAAACGTAAGGCCCATATGCTTTTGCCGGCTTGATCGAGGGGGTAGGCGAGCGTGATGAGCGCGGGGAGAGGACATGATAGTCAAGAGTTGACTTTCGCCCAAATGGCTACCCCGCCTAACTCTTGGACGCCCTCTCTCCGCTTCGTTAACTTCCCAACCCCTTAAGAAGAGAAAAGCAAGGAAGTGCTGCTTCATACATAACCCGCAAATTACATGCGGTTGGGAATTCTCTTCTTTGCCTGTTCGCTGCCCGTGCTATGCCGGCGGCGGGCAGCTGATGCAGGACAAACATGTCGGGGTGAGGGGCACGGTTAATTTGGGTCTTCTCTATCCCCATGGGCGTCTCCCCCTACCTCACCTGCTTCCAGACAGTTGACTGCCACTTGTTGGAAAGGATCAATTTTGAAGGGGTAGACACGCGCGGGGGCCCCCTCCCGTGCCGGCGGCGGCAGCGTGCTGCCCTCCTGGCCTGGCGGCCATGCAACCTCGTGCGTGCAGGACTTGCCATCCACCTCCACCAGGTTTGCGCCCACAGGCAGCTGGGCTACGCGTTCACCGCCTAGACGAGCCGCCTTTGCTGGGGGTGGTGCTGCCGGGCCTTCGCCGGGGTTTGAGGCATCGGCGGAAGCACTGGCGGACCGCTTGCCGAGAGCCGTATCCGGCGACATGCCGTTGACGGCGTGTAAGTTGTTATCTTTGAAAGGCTATATAATGCCGGGATGTTCTTTGAGGATGAGGCCGCCGCTGTTGACAGGCCCAATGCGGCGGCGAGATGCGAAAACAATTTATTATAGGGTCTGTCAGATTATTCAACGGATTAAGGAAAGAACTTGTGCATACACTTCAGGGGAAAAGATTTGAGCTTCACTCTGCAGCTTCGTTTTGCAAAGGTTTCCTAGCGAACACCAAGCAGAGAGAAAAACATGGATAAGAAAATAACGACTGCAATAATGCCAGAGCTGGCCTACTGCCTCTGGAAGTCGAATGCTCGTTCAACTTGTAACGACAGTTGCCGGTTTTCCAAGTGGTTGCACACTTGCAACGCTTTGCTGCAATCGCACAAAGCCATAGAGCACGTAGTCACTACGTAGAAATTCCACAAACCCTTTCTGTGAAATTACATTGTCCAAAATGATAGGACCTGACCGTGCGACCGACCGGCAATACAAGTCATTCAATCACTACAGCCACAGCGTAGCTTGTACCCTCGAAAGCATGAGGATTTCATCGCGAATCAACAGTCAATCGTTACGATGCAATCATTTCAAGGGGGACAGGGAACCAACCCACATCACTAGCCGTACATGCTAGCGGTTGACCTTGTTTCTTCTAATCTTACAAAGACCCACATGGATACGTAATGGAGCGCATGCAATAACAGAACTAAGATTGTATATGAAGCTCATGAGAATGCAATAATCTGATATAGTAACGGCATCTGTCCGTCCCGTAAGTTGCACCGTGCGCATCCCACATATGTTTCTCGGCGCATTGCTGCTTCCTGCAAATATTATAGACCTGACGACCCAAACCTTTGTTTAATTCAAACAATTTCACCATAGCCATAACCCCACACCATCTCCAATTCGCCGTTCAGCAATAATCTCCCTGTGAAAATACAGAAGATTTTGTGTATTATTTGCTAAGCCAAATACGTCTGCTTTGTAGTAGCTGCCGCTGAAAAGGCCTCTCGAGATAGCGCCTTAGCGCCTATTTGTAAACGTCGTGTGTGCCGTACTATCTACCAGCTGCAACGTTCTTCCCCTTTGAAGGGATCCGTCTCGTTCCCTTACGGCAACATACACACGCCTGCGCCTACGATTGCCTACCCTCGGGCAGTGGGTTATTTATCCACATCCTAACATGCGCCTAGCCTAGTCTTCAGAGTTTTCAGGCACAGAATCTTTCCAGTCAATCACAGCTACATTTAGTCACGGTAGTCGTGCAAGGGATCGTCATGCTTGACCTAGTCGTCTGACCCGATATCCACAATGCGGTCTGTCTGGGTCGAATTGACTGCATCTGGATCGTAAAATTGTAGTGGCTGGCATGCTCAGCTCATGATTCCTCCCCAGCTCCGTGGTCAATCTGGGTCAGCGCAAGAGGACGTGATGCATCCCGCAAGCATCAACATGAGGGTGTTAGAGAGCCCGATTCAATGAAGATCACGGTCGAGACAGGCTGAGCATGCTCACTACCAGTCGGGGTAAGCGTAAGGCCGGGTGGCGCCTTTCACAAGCAGCAGCACTGAGATGTAGTAGGACAGCGGGCAGCTACAGCGCGGTTGTGTGTGTGTGTGTGTGTGTGTGTGTGTGTGTGTCTGTGTGTGTGTGTGTGTGTGTGTGTGTGTTACATGGTTGGGGGTGCGTGACCCCATACCTGTAAGACTACCCATACGAGCCGAAGGCCCAAGGGCAATACTACAACGCCTAAAAGCCACGGAGGAAAGGAAAACACCGCACATCAGCCCAGACTAGCGTCCAAAGGGGATAATTGAGTTTCGGTGAGCCCACATACGTTCCAACATCCTCGCCAGACGTGCTGGTTCCCATTTCATGGCCTCCAACATGCTCTGTTGATGATCGAATCCCTCTACAGCACGAATATCATTATAGGCTGGGCATTCCAATAACACGTGTTTTTCATCCTCGATTCGGCTATTAGTACCACAACAGCGGCAAAACCGCTGCCCCCTGGGGACATGGTACTTGCCTCTTCGTGCTCTGTTTACCTCCAAAGCCCAGCAACATAAACGAAACTGCATTAGCTTACGATGTGCTAAACGAGGAATGAAACCTTAGCATGTGTTGGCCACATGACGGCTGCGGCTCCCGAAAAGGGCAGCCCCATCCAGTGCTTATACTTCGCCATTTGCACTCCCGGTTGCTTCCCATCTGATGGGTACTCCTTTGGCGCGGTTGGCTAGGAACAAGGCCCACCCACTGAGCATGCTCACAACCGTGCACCAGTGATGTCAGTGCTACATTTGGGGGGTGCTAATGAGTTTAGCACGAGTTTAGCATGATTTTAGCAGTTTGGTATGACGCGTTATTAGTAGGTTGTTATTTTCTTTAAGTTTGGGACCGAATGCGGCACTAAACACGGTGGAGCAAGCTGAGCACGTGATTGCGGCACTCGCACGTGAGTCATGAAACCCCGGTTATCCAAAATATTTTTTGCTCCGCGACTTTGTCGTACTGCTTAGGTCTTTCTGTTGTCCGTGCCATAGTGTGGAGTGCAGTGCGCCTGTGCGTGTGTTCTTTGACTGACGTGTCGTTGTGCACCTGCCAGCCGCCAGGTACACGATCTGCCTATCGTAGTGAATGTCGATGTTTGTGTGCACGCGCACGTGCATTGTTCCTGGTATACCATGACGCAACGGCTCCGGATGCATCCAGAATACGCCTGCTTCGCCCCCTCCTGCCGCCCACATGTACCCACTTGCTTGCCGCATGCCAACATATAAAAACTCTTCAGCAAAAACTTTCCATAACCTTGGAGCAGGAGAGGCGGTAAAGTGCGGGGAAGTGGGGCGGCAAGCCCACGACCCCGCACATGCCCCCAAACCACCTCCTTGGCGGCTCGGCGGTGAGTATACTCGGGGGATGGGGGCCGTATGGGTTGGATTATCGGCGCGGTGGCCTGGAGTGGGTCGTGCCCTGCCGCTTGAGGCGTGACTGTTAGCATTGAGCAATCATGCTTGGCAGGCAGCTGACAGCATCAGCAGACGCAGGCACAACATCAGCTGCAGCGAAGTCTTTAGGAAAGGCTTCCGGCGTGCAGCAAATCCAGAACAGAGCTGCCAGCCGCCTGAAAGCATGATATTGCTCTGAATTGTGATGTGTTGATCGTGTGTGCATACCTGGGTCGCGATTGCACGGCTTTGGGGTTTTTGAGTGGATTGTCTAACCAACTTCCCATCTGGTCGTGTGTGTTTCCCCTTGGCGCGCCTCCCTCGTCCTTTCCTTGGTGAGGTGTGTTGCCCTCAGGACGCGGCGACAACGGAAATATCTCATATGAGTGTACGGCATTCCGATGACCATGAACGCGTCGTCTGTCCTTAATCTAATGTTTGTTGATGCCTGCATACCTTCCGTAGTGTGTTGTACGTGTCGAGGCGGGAAGGTTTTGGCGTGGATTGCGCGTTGTGACATGATCCGATATTGGCACATAAAGTACATCCGATCATCCCATCGGTATTTACGGCTTTAAATCCCGATAAGCAATTCCCTAGAGGCTCGTGGCTCGCCTCTTGCGTAGTGGTCTCTGATCTGTCCTCTGTTCCCCACTCCCTGTTGTCCAAGGTTTAGAGCAGGTCTGCAAAGAAATTGGCCGCCGGTCGTTTCTTCTGCTCCGCTCCCTTCGTCCATCGTGTCCGCTCCTGCTTCTTCACCTTCTTCTTCCTTCCGCCGGCACCACCGTCATCACTATCGCTGTCGTCGTCGTCGTCATCGTTGTCACCTACACAGTTGCTGCCGCCGCCGCCGCCGGCTGCTGCGTCAACGGCAGCTACACGCTTGCTATTTGCAGCCGTGGAGGCCTTGCCCGCACCATCCCTATCTTTCCCCCGCGCTTTTTCAGTCCCCTCCACTCTCCCCCCACGCCTCCCCTCCTCTCCCTCGCCTTCCTCGTCGTCCCCGCTACCACCACCACTGGCGTCCTCCTCCTCACTACCTGTTAGCTCCTCCTCCCCCTCCCCCTCCCCTTCCTCCTCCTCCTCCTCCTCCTCCTCCTCCTCATCATCATCATCATCATCCTCATCACCATCACTATCATCATCCTCATCGTCATTATCTTCCCGCTCTCCCTCCGCCTCTTCATCCCCAACCGTTCCACGCTTCTTCGCTCGCACCGCAGCCACCACGGTGGTGGCTGCAGCGCCAACGCCGCCATCATCCCCATCCTCTTCATCCCCCTCATCGTCTTCATCTCCATCGTCCTCGAGCAGTACAGACAAGTCCCAGAGTTTGACCGCCGAGTCATGGGAGGTCGAGGCAAGCACCCGTCGGTCGTTCGACAGTGCGAGGCGCTCGACGGGGAAGTCCTGATTGGGATACGATATAAGGTCGTCACAGTGAGGGAAACGACGGGAATGAATCCTCGGATGCGGATGCGGCAATGACAATGGAGGGCAAGTGCTACCGAGGGTTGGAAGGGAAGTTCAATTATTCTACACAGACCAGAAGATGAAGAAGGATGGCGAAGCGTTTTCGCGTCCAGCCATAATGAACCGCTGTGCGCTTCAGTACATGCTAAAAACAATACCGCTACCATGACGATGCGCAATGTGTAAAAAGGCATTCGTTCGTTCTTTCACGCGGGCAAAAATCGACGGCTCACATGCACATGTACACAACATTGCCCGCACATGTAACCAGCACACGCACACACACATTCCCGCGCACCCACCCACACCCACGCTCCCACCCCGCTCACCTCGTTGTGTTGTCCTAGTATTCCCAGCAGTCTGTTTGGCAGCACCCCCACCACACGCACCCCCCCGTCCGAGGACCCTGTCAACAAGGTGGACTCGTCGAAGGCCACCAGCGCCTGAACCGACTCCGGGTGGCCCGGGAGCCTGGGGGACCAGATGGAAGCGTTTGGCGATCGATGTGATGGTGGTGGTGGTGGTGATGATGGCGATAATGACGCATGCTTGGATGCGAAATGCAGTAAAAAATAACCGCCAACGTTGCATGGGTGGCATCATATAATGGGCAAAGCTCCAATAAATATTTTGCTATCGACTAAATTGAATACGATGCGACATAAGCAATTTCAGGAGTATGACGGGGAATGGGGAGGGGAAATGATGGGAAAGCACGCATGCGCACGAAAATGCTTGAGGGTACGTGCTGCAAATGGTATCGTACTGCAGCAGTACGCTCTGTTGTCGTACCCTACCTGTCACTGCAGTCGTTAAAGTACCCCCAGCTGTACAACTGCAGTACACCGGACTGGGTGCCCGCCACCACCTTGCGGCCCCCCTTGACTACCACACAGCTCAACAGCTCGTCATCGTTGTCATCCTCACTACGAGCCAGTGCCGTACTGCATGGACGATTGGGGTTTGGGTTTTTCCAGAGATCCAAGAGTGATTTATGTATACATACCGGGGTTTGAAGGACGGGGTTCAAGGGGGCATTATATCATGGGGAACATGAAATGCCATGAGATGCGATGAGAATTTCGGAGCGCAATTGCTGTGGGGATACATGCAGGAATGGAGACAGGCAGGGAAGGGAAGGACAGCAGTAGAAACGAACAGCGCAGAGTGCGCGCAGCTGTCGTAGCCATGAAACCGTTCTGAGTCTCTTAGCACTAGCACCCCCACTCGCACCCCCACCCGCACCAGCAGACTCGTCTAGACCTACTCTCATATTTACGCCCTAATATGACCCCGACCTCCGGTGGATAGGTCCTCTAGCCCCGGCCTGCCACTCTAGGGTTACAGACCTAATGCTTCTCCTAAACCACGATTTCTTCCTCAATTGCCTGTTTTCCGTTTTCCTTTTCCAAGCCAGTAGCCTCCTCATCGCCTTAATCTGTGTCATGCCCCCGGTGCTGCTCCGTCCCCTCCACCCGAAACGGCCGAAAAATCCGCACACCTCTTTTCTGCAGTTTGAGGTTCCCACACCTTACCGCTTGCGCAGGTCATGTACAGACAGAGTGGCGTCTCCGCTGACGACGACAACCGCCTGGTCCTTGGCATGCAGCGCGAAGTCCGAAATGTAGTCAGTGTGGCGAGTGTATCGGTAAATCGCGGAAGAGGAGGAGGAGGAGGAGGAGGACGTGGTTCCGCTGCTGCCCCCAACTCGATCGTCCCACAGAGCCACAAGGCCCTCCTCGTCCCCAGACGCGAACACATGAGGCCCCAGGGCAAACACCCGGCTCAGCTGCGCATCGTGCTCGCCCGAGAACCCCGCAACCATGCGCCCCGTCGCAACGTCGTACGACCGTACGGCGTGGTCGGCATAGCCCGCCAGGACGGTGTCGCCGCCGCTTGTGAAGCAGACAGCGCGGCAAGAAGGTGCGTCATCAGGGGCTGTGGCAGAGGCTCCGCCGCTGGTCAACTTTTGCTTTTTTTTGCTGGCAGGTTGTACGGATGGCGCTGGCGTTGGCGGGGGTACGGTCACATGTAGCTGGTACGACAGTTGGCTTCCGCCGCCAGGGCTATGAGCCGGGCAGGAGAAGGACGCCAGCTGGATGTGGCCGGTGACGAGGGCGGCAGCCAGAATGCCGCTGGAGGGGCTTACAGCGCAGTCCTGGCGTAAAAAGGGGAAGCCGGGAGGGGGTGTTTGAGGTTTGACTGGGGGATGTGCGCTGGTGGTGCGAGTGGGGGATGTGCGCTGTACGCCGCCAGGGACTGCGCTGCTTGCCGTCTAGGACGATATGGGTTGAATTGGTCATAGACGAAATACTGGAAATAAGATTATATGATTTGCTTCTTTCGAGCGCACCAGCGGCTGTGCTTGAAGCGGGACTGTGCAACTTGGAGTTTCCATTACGTCGCGCCTGCGGCTGCAACTGCGAAGGCCAGGGGGGTAAAGTTTGGTCGCACTAGTGCTTCTTTTGACACGTGCCACACGTCAAGGTGATATCAGCTAAATTTGGAAACTTCAATAAGAAAGCTTTGCTTCCCTACTTCCATAAACTTGCTACTTAATTGCAAAGTCATTTGAAGAATATCATCGCAAGTAATACTTGACACTGCGGCGAGTCACAGATTGGCAAACAAGGATTTACTACACACAACACTACGAGCGTCGGTTGGCCTCCCGCCGACATAGTCCGTACGGAACCAGTCCACCTGCGCAAAAAGCGGAAGGGTCGCCTGTTGGAAACTTGTCCAAATATGTTAGAATAAAAGCTTACCAAGCGTGCTGACTGCAAATGTAATCCCTTGGCTAGCAATACCTCCATCGGTATCGGTATGCAGACACTCCATGTTTCACATGTAATTGTTGAACCACAAGGACTGCTCGCACAAACTTTGACCTGGTTGAGGCACCGTGACAGGTGGGCTTTCAGTTTTGCGGAAGCAACAAAACTTCCGGCGGCGCACGGCCACCGGATACTAGCGTTCATAACCTCAACAAAATAGAAAATTACCGACGGCACCTAATACTGGCGTGGCCGTGTTCGCCTCGTGAATTCCTGCCCGTGGACCAGGCTTCATGCCCCTAAGGTTGCGTGGTCCAGACCTGACATACGGGAGGCTCATGCGAGTACGATAAGTATCCATGCCCAGGTGCGACATCTTGGGTTTGGTCCATCGGCCGCCGACGCATTTCTATCCCGCAGCATCCAACGGTCAACGGCTCGGGACTGACTGAAGTCGGGTTCCACATTTCCATTTCTAACATCAGCTACACGCACACATTGCATTACGGGTTTGCATTATCAACACAACAATCGAACACCTGTATTGCGCCCGACACCGGATTGCCTTCAGGCACGCGCTGTTGGGCCACCCGTGCACCATCCATGCGGAAGCGCAGCGGTCGCTGCGCCGAAGGCGCATGCACCCAAAGCCTCAGCCGCAGTTGCACCATCGCCATCCAGAACCCATATCAATACCAGCGATGCTGCAGCCGCGGACCGTCCCTCCCTTTTGGGGGTAAACGGCCCGGCGGCCCGCGGCAATCATGGCCCGGCGCAGCACAAACAACGGCACCACCTCAGCGATCACCATCAATACCTTCACTACCCTCATCACGACAAGGACGAATTTGGACCTCAGCCGCACACAGAGCTCGGTTATCGCGGCCCTGACGCTGATGTTGGCCAGCCCCGGGGGGATGCAATCACAGCGGCAACGACGTCAGCAACTGACGTTAGGGGTACCACGCCAGGTATCAGGAGGGCGGATAGAGGGTACGGGGCAACCACCACCGCGAAGGTGGCAACCACCACGGCATGGCAGCGGCGGCAACAGACATCCTTTAAGGAGCAACCTCTACGGCTCCGTCAGCTGCCGTACAGCATGGCATCTGTTGCATGGGGACTGGCGCCGTCACCAGTAAGGCCGCAGGGCCGGCAGGAACAACACTTGCACACCCCGCTGCTGTCCATTCCGTCGTTGGGAGCAGACCCGCCAGCAGCGGCCGCAGCATCTCCTCTGTTCCTCAAAGGATCATCATCATCAGCAGCAGCAGCACCTGCCGTAGTGGTGACGGCAGCCGCCGCAGCAGCATCAGTAGCAGCAGGACCTTGTACGAACGGAAAAAGCTCATCTAGGGCGGCCGCCACTGGCGCTGCTGCCGCGCTTTCCGCCGCCATCCGCTCCGCCACGTCATTGGACGAGCTTGCTGACTTGTACGACGCGGAGTCTGCCTCATTTCGATCTGGGCACGTCTCCGCGGCGCTGGTGCGGCTGCCGCACGTAGCCGGTCTTCGACGCACGCGCACCCCGCGACTGACGCACCCCCGGCACGAGGCGTTGCTACAGCGACTGCTGGAACGTTTCGAGGCCTTCCGATCAGCTGGTCAGTACGGCACCCGGGATCTGAGCTCATGTGCTTGGGTGCTGGGCACGCTGGCCCGGCGCGAGTGCGGGGAGCTGGTTTCGGAACTGGCCGAGCACATGCTGGCACTACGGCGGCAGTACTTGCAGCAGCAGCAGCAGCAGCAGCCGGTGGAGGCAACAACTGTAGCTGCTGTTCGCCCTGAAGCCGGGAACGGGACCCCAGAAGTGGCCCATTCTAGGGGCCGTGGAGGCGAAAGGGGAAACAGGGGAGACGGGCAGCTACAGTTGGCAGTGGGGGCGCCACCGCCTGTCGCTGCGAGTTCGTGGCCGTGCACGACGCTATCAGGTAGAGCTGCGACGGCGGAGGTGGCGCCGCTGCCAGGACGTGCTTCCGACTGTACGGCGCTCGACTTGTCCAACATGGCACTAGGAATGGCTAAGTCAGGCGTTACGTCGCCAGTGTTGTGGGAGGGTCTGACGGAGGCCGCCGCTGCCAGGCGCCTGCGAGACTTTGGCACTCAGGAGACCGCCAACCTCGCCTGGTGCTTGGCGCAGGCACACCGGGACTTCTGCCGACGGGAAGCAGCGGCGGTGTGCGGCAGCGACGTGGCAGGCGGTTGTCGTACGTCGGCAGTGGCAAACACTGCAGCAGCAGACCACCATTACGGCATTGTTGGCGTCGTCGAAGGCGTGGATGCCCAGTGCCGGGTTTTCGTGCCATGGCCGGGGGCCCCCTCGTCGCCGCCGCCGCCAAGCGCCGCGCGGGCGCTGCATCCTGCGTGGCTGCCCTGGGCAGGTGCCTTTGTGGAGGCCGTGCTGGCTCCGAGGATTCGGTGCATGTTGCGCTTCTACACCAATCAGCAGGCTGCGAATGCGGCGTGGGCGCTAGCGGCATTGGGCCATGCGGATTGTCGCACGCTAGACGCAGTGGCGGCGGTGGCGGAAGCATCGGCGGCGACTGCCGTGCCGCTGGCCGCCGTCG